TTCTTCTTAAGGTAGGGAAAGCTTGCCCTGGCACCCCACTTTGTGCTTCTAGTTAGGAATTTATTCCATTTTCACTAGTAACCTTCAGCTGCATTCTTGCAGCCAGCTGTCAGTGACTGATCCAGGCGCTCTGCCCTTTCAGAAAGTTAAGCTTCATTTGTTTAAAGGTTATAGTGCCATTTTAAAGTAGTAAATCAAAAGCTGTCTTAAAACACTTCTGCTATCTAGCATTCCTTTCTTTGTTAAAAAAGAATAGGTGGTGATGTTTTCATATTTTAGGAATTTTATCTCAAATGTCACAAGAATTTATATGATTCAGTTATATTCTGAGGCTAGGCAGTCAGTCCATCTTAGTGTCTTCATTTTAACTTGGTATTTTTCTTCTGCTGGGTTTCTGTTGTTGCAAATTCATGAAAGTGTAGCATACACTCTCTGGTATCTGTGCGCACAGAGATTCATGTAACCTGAAGATTCAATCCAACAGCAAAAGTGTAGTGTTGGAAAGGTCTCCCATACCTTGAGTTAGGTCATGTTATGTGATACCTGAACAAAATCATGATTCAGCGTGCTGCAAACGTGACATTGCTTCAGGATTTTTTCTGAACTTGCCTTCTTGCAGCCTGTTTTTTGCTTCAAATTAGTTAGTTCCAATGCTTTATTTGTTCCCTATCTGTTAAACTTTATGAGAAAAGTTCACCTCTGTAACTACCCTACAATATCTTTGTAGATTTTTGTTTGTTTTTTTTTTTAAGATCATTAAATCTTAGTGGACTATCTTTACAGTAGACAGCAATGATAAAAGTATTAATTTCTAGTTGCCATCTCATTTGTTTACATATACATACGTTATATATACTTATAGATAGTGTATATTTAATATACATAATACATGCTTGGCTACAATATCTGATGTTTCAAGAATTTCTCTGGGACTGTATTAGAATTGTTCATGTTTGCATTATATTTTGAGTGCAATTTCCTGAGGTTCTGACCAATAATGGAGCTGTGTAGGACTGCACCTTACCCTTATGTATTTAAATCTGTGCCATTTCACACATCTCAAAACACTTGAAACATCACAAACATCTGAAAATAAATTCATGTGGTTTCTTTCCCTTATGAGATGTGACATTCTGTGTTCAAAGATATCAGAGAACAGCACATTCACTTTGAATTGAAATATGCAGATACTCCTCTACTGCTGCTTCCTGTAAATTTGCATTGATCCTCCTTATCATGTGCCAAAGCTTTTGATTTGTATTTAAGCAAGTTTCTAAAGCACAGTCTTCATAAATTGCAAAATTTGTTCACATTATGAACAAAATAATAAACTAGGTATGAGAGAACCACTGTTTCTGTCCCATGCTTCCTGTCTAAGCTTTTGTGATCTGCTGTAGAAAACATTCTCTCAACTTCTTTTCCTGTTCACAGTCTGGATTTCTTCACAGTCTTATTGGTACACAAAATGTAGCACATTTCTCAAGTTCTACATTTTTAATTGCCTTTACCCTTACAGCTCTACAGACAGATTCTTTTCCTGATTATTCTGAAGGTTTTTTTAATATTATTTATCTTCTCTATCCCCTGGTACCTACTCTTTTTCCCAGAAGAAGAATTTTTCAGTTGCTGATGTATGTTCCACAATACTAGTGGCAATGAAAGCTGGCAGAATCCTGGGATCTTACAGTAGTTTATATTGGGAAGGACCTCTTGAGGTCGACTGGTCCAACTCTTTTCTCAAAGGCACTCCAGGTGTTAAATCAGGTTGTTCAGGGCCTTGTGCTGTTGAATAATTTTACAATTTCCAAGGATGGAGTTTCTGCAGCTCCACTGGACAGTCTGTGCCTGTGGTGACCATTCTCTTTCTGGGGATTCTTTCCCTACTCTCTCATCATCTCAGAGTACGTTGTGTGGTTCCACCTGCCAGCATCTTGGTGGCCTTCCATCAGCCAAGGAGTATTTTAGGATTTTTGTTGCACTGAGGAACCCAAAACTAGATACAACATTCCAGATGTGGTTTCATAAGTAACAAAGAGGAGAACAGTCATAGCACTTGACCTACTGGCTATGTGTTTACCAAAACAGCCTGGGATGCAGTCATTGCAGAGGTTTAATGCTTGTTTATGTGTTCGTCTTGTTGTCCATTAGAGCTCTCAGGTCCTCTTTCTTAAGGTATTTTCTGGTTGGTGGCTTTGAGCACATACTACTTACTGTATGGTTCTATCCCAGATGCAAGGCCCTGAATTCGGCTTTGTTGATCTTTGTGTGGTTTCAGCCTTTCCAGTTCTCTCTTATGAACAGCTCTGCCCTCCCATATTTCAAGTGCTCCCTACCATCTTATCAATGAATGTGCAAAGAGAAAACTGATAATATCTTCTGAGCCATTAGTAAAACCATAGTCATTGATAGCAATCCTGAAGTTGTGCCATTTGTAACTGGCAACCGGTTGGATTGGTGAACAACTGACCTGTGTTGTATTTCCACTCATCTTGATATTTCTCCATGCATTCTCATGTCACCCCAGTTTGGCTACAAAGGTTCACTGAGATGTTGTGTTGAAAGCCATGCCAAATCAAGAGAAGGAAATGTGTACTGCTCTTCCTTCTTATCATGGAAAGCAATAATATTGATCAAACATGGTTAATTCTTAGTAGATCCATCTTGACCATTCCTGTTCTTTCTTATCCATCGTGTTCTTGAAAAGTGACTTCCAGAAGGATTTGCTCCATTCTCTTGGGGGAATGAGGTTAGACTGTGATTCCAGCCTGTAGTTTTCTGGATTGTCCTTATTGCTCTGATTTCAAGACAGACGTGATGCTTGACCTTTACCCAGTCATCAGGAGTCTTCCCCAGTTACAGTGACCTTTCAGAGAAGGCAAGCAGCTGGCTAACAGTGTTGATTGGCTCCTTCAGCAACCTCAAATGTATCCTCTCTTGTCCCAGCACAGAGGATGTGTCAAGTTCGCTGCTTGCTTTGCTGTCCCACATTCTGCTTCAGGGAGCTGGGTGGCATACTAGCCTTGTCAATAAAGTCAGAAGTAAAAAAGACATGGTTACCTTGATCTCTGTAATCTTTACCATTAAATCCACTGTGCTCTTGAGAGCAGTGGGCCCACGTTTGCCTTGTTCTTTGTTTTATTACTGTATCAAAGCTTATTCCCCTTCATAACTGGTTAATTTCAACTCACCTCTTTCCTTTCTCAGTTCTGTCCTTGCATGTCTGGGACATTCTTGCTGGATACTGGGTAGCCTAGTCCTGTTTGTGCATTTCAAACCTTTGCTTTTTGTGCTTGAGTTGAGGCAGGGGTTACCCATTCAGCCTGTCTGGCTCTCTGCCATGCCTGCTTGATTTCTAGCTAACTAGAACAGACTGTTCTTATGCTCTGAACACGTCATCTTCAAAGATCAACCCACTCTTCTACCCTCCACAGCAACTTCCCACAGGATCCTGCCTGTAACCCCCCTGAACAAACTGTAGTCTGTTCTCCTGAAGTATAGGGTCTGCTCCTTGCCCTCCTCAGTTTTCTCAGGATCTTAAATTCCACCGACTTGCACTTGCTTCAGCCAAGGCTGACATTGATTTTTGTCATCCCTCACCAATTCTTCATTGTTCATGAGCAACATATTTGAGTGTCTCCCCAGCTGGATTAGTTGCTTGTTTGGATTAAAATAAATCATCTTGATGGTTGGGAGTCTCCTGGATTGCTTGTATTCTTCCAGGATGCCCTTCGAGAGTATGTAGAAATGGTTAAGCTATTTACCAGATATTCATTATCATTAACTTCCCACTGACGATCTCATCTTAAAGTCATACAGAATTAATTGTTTCTCTCATGCCTTCTTCCCTCATTAAGTCTGAAGTCCCTTTTAATTCCTTTCTTAGGATCAAATTCCGTAGTTATTGACCCTAAGCAGGAATCTCACAATATGTGCATCTACTGCTCTCTGAATGTAAGCGTCTGCAGCTCTTCATACAATTTATTGTTTTCTGCTGGTAGGGGTCTTGATCAAGCCAACCTTCTTTCTCTTATGTTCTTGCTATAAATATCTGGGGGGGGAAGCATCAAGACTTGGCACTCCAAGACAGATTGCCTCTAGTATTGTGGATTCCATTCACTGCTTCCATTATTGTTTGTTCTTGCAATAAGAATGGATTTTTAAATGTGTTTAGCCAGGAATGCATTCACTAGCATGCTGCATTTACGAAATTAAAGTCTTGGACCTTGCACGTTCTTGGAATTTGTCAGGGGTCAGAATTTCACTGGCTTTCTTTGCAGATTCCTTTAACTGCCACCCTCCCTAAAAAAAAAAAAAAAAAAAAAGGGGAGAGCTCATCTGAAGAAAATTGCACCATAGGATCCTTGAACATAATACTGTAGATCTAATTTTAAAAGTATAAAACTACGCCAGCAGTGAACACTACAGAAAGCACTTCAAGATGGCCAGAAGGTGCATCACCACACTGAAAGTGAATTTTAATGTCGTATGGAATAATACATAGATCTGAAATCCGTGCGTGATGCAGCCTGGAGTTGAATGTGAAGGTTGAGTTGTGTTCCTCATGATTTGACTGTTGTTGAACCCTCCAGCTGTGCAGGAGCAGGTTGCACCTGCAGTGCTTATGAATGCAGCTGACACTTCACTCCCCTGTGTCAATTGATTGTGGCAGCACAGTAAATATCAATGAATGAATGAAAATTCACGTTATCTCTGGTTCTTGTCATTACCAGGGTCTTTCTGGAAGCTGTTCCTGATAATAGGGGGTGTAGAATGAGAACTGGCAAAATCTGAAAGAAATTTCAATTGTTACCGTTTATTGTTTGCCAAATGATATTGAAAGGGACTTTTTTTTGTGGTGACTACAGATTTCAAAGGTTGCCAGGAAGGCTATAAACATTAGATAAAAATGCCTTTTTTGACTCTGGGTGGCAGGTATTACAGAAAATGAGTGTATTTTGTTAATACGTGCATTATCACATCTTTTGTTTCTTTTGTTTTAGATGAGAAGATTGTGGAAAAAATACGAGCTTTACAAATGAAAGCTGAAGACTATGATGTTGTTAAGGTGATTGGAAGAGGGGCTTTTGGAGAAGTGCAGCTGGTAAGAAAGGGATGATTTGTTGATTAACAGATTTATGGCTGTAGTAAAACTCTTTTCACTCTTACATGCTTTAGATCTAAAAATGCATTCTTACAGAGAATGTTAAAGTTGAAAACATTTCTGTTGTATCCTGAGTCATTTCTGTGCATAGTAAGCAATAAGTAAGTTTAAAACATAATAGATTGGATGGAAAGGATTTGGAAAATATTTTACCATGCTTTCAGCAAAATGTAACAGGTAGTTCAAAACATCTTTTCTTTTTTTTTTTTTTTCGTGGGCACAAGCATTAAAATATAAGAATGTCTGAAATCATTCAATTAAAGAACAAGCTAATCGTGCAGAAAAAACTGTTGTTTTACTCTTCCTGCTAATTTGCAGGAATTGAAGGTGGTTAACTTGCTGCCACAAGGTAACTAAAATGTTCATTGGCAGAGGTTTTTTGGCATGTCTCTGACATTTTACTGCTGAGTGCTGGCTTTGTGCTAGGAAGCAGGGAAAATCATACCACCAAATCATAAAACGTTTGTGGAGAGCAGTGCTTTGTTGGGGAATGTTGCAAGTTCTTGTGTCTGAAGAGCTTGTACAATGTGCCCCATGTATAATTGCCATAAATTTATTACTCATCTATAAAGTTATTTGTATGTTCTTTACTGGCATTGGTGAGAGTGGATGGAAATGGGGAGAAAAAAGCAGGCTTTTAAGATTTTTTGTGTAGTTATTATTTATTTCTTGTGTACCTTGCAGCAGTGACTTGATGAAAGTTGCTACCATAGACAGACGTAGTTTTGATTGTTCTGTACCAGTAAGGCTTTTTTGTACAAGACCTGAGCAAAGGAAACAGTAAGTAGTTTCGGTTTCAAACCAAGAGGACCAGTAAGGCTTTTTTAAGCAGTTTTGTCTCAAAATAGTTGCAAAAGTCTTGATGTATTAGATGAATTAAGTAGTGGATCCCTGGTTGCCACTTAATACAATGTAAAAAGGTAAAACTTTTCTTTGCTTACTCTTCCTGGCTGTGTTTTTCAAGGTAAAATGAAAATTGGAGTAAGGGAAGGCTGTGGTTAGCCTAACACTATTTCTGTGCCTCATGGATAAATGCGAGTTTAGATTTGATTCATATGTGGCAGTTAACAAAATTCAATCAGAGGTTTTATAAATGTATTTTGGTTTTTAATCTGTCTTCATCCCAGTGTGGTAACATGGGAATGTATCTCCCTCTTCCCTATTTCTTCCTGGGTCAGCTGCTCTTTGTTTCTATCCAGAAGAATTCATGGAAGATAAAGAGGGATATTTCCAGAGATGATGTTTTCAATCAAGACTTTAAAGAATTAATGGGTGTATTGCTTTTATATCTTTGCTGGCAAGAGATTAAAAAGAAAAACAAAACTGTCAGCAGAACCCTGTGTACTTGAGAAAAAGTGGCTGCAGGGAGCTTTGTAAAAAGCAGTCTGCTCTTAGGCCTCTCTGTCTTTACAGCAATTATCAAATGTTTCATTTAAGCTATTTTATTAGACCTTTTTCATTATATTTTTCCACGTCTAGCATCTACTAGAGAGAGCATCTATTAGAGATGCTTTTGAGATGTTCCTTTACCATGTGCTTGAGCAGAAATCAGAAAAAAAAGAATCATATTGTAAGGACTGGAGTTCCTCTCCCATCTACTGGGGAGGGAAGGAAATGAGAAATGGAGAACACCAATAACAGAAGTTAGCTTTTTCTTTTTGGATTTCTTATATGTATTTGTGACTTTGTGAGCATTTACGGGTTTTGGGGGATTTTTTTTGTTTTTTTGTTTTGTTTTGTTTTTTTCAAATTATTGATTTTTTTTTTTTTTTTAATTTGCTTGATAAGTTTTAAATAGAAATTCTTAATTTGTTATGGTTTGGAATGAAAACTGTACATTTTTTTGTGTTACTGCACCGTGTCACGCATACCTTTGTCAAGTTGTAAGGCAGAGGTGATTGTTCACAGCAGTGAGTCCTGCAGCCAGTTACCTGGCGTAATCTGAAGACAATCTTCAGCTCTCATGTGGTTAATCATTACAATGGAATGTTGAAATGCGCAGCAACTTGGTCAGAGGGATTTGCTTTTAATTCTGTTTACTTTAAGTTGGCCCCTAGAATAAAAAAGCTAAAAATGAATAACACTGGACCAAAATTTCTGTTCATATAGAGCTCTTCTGTGCTTTATGCCAGCTTGAGAGCACGTTCTCTTTCTGGAATGTAACAAGTATAAGTAGAAACAATGGTGCTGTAATGTCTCACAGCTAAAAACCAATGGGTTAATAAATACCACTGTTGATCTGAACTAATATTAGCTGGTGATGAGAGCATACATACCTAGATTTTTTGCCTCACAAGGTATGATACAAGTTCAAGCTATTGAGTTAAGCTATATCTATTTCTACTCCATTTGTAATGTTAACACCACAGTTGCAGATGATAGATTTGCAGTAATCAAAATATTTTTCAACACGTTCTGTGATCAGAATAGAAATCTGCTTCACTGGTGGCTAAACACAGAAAGGACCATAAATAAAATATGTTTGACTACGTGAGTAAAATTCATGAATATCATGTTATCAGCATGTGCCATTGTGAATAGATTCATGCAGCACAATCCTTTATTATTTGTAATATTTAAACACAACAAGACAAAAGAATGAGCATGCTAATATATAGTGTAGAATACTCAGTTATTACTTCCTTCTTGTTTTTTTTTCCCCTAGTTTTTAGCTCCAGTATGGCATTTTAAAAACTCAGAAGCATTAAATTCTATGCTTGCCTTCTCCTTTGCTAAGAATTTCCTGTCTGCAGCCAGATCACTTCTCTTACGTAGTGGCATGAATAAAAGGTCTTGGTGTCTAGAGCAGACTTAAAAATTGAATTATGGTGCTATATATGTTGCTTCTGGTTTATGCAGAAGCATTAATTAATGAAAGCACATCCCGAGTGCCTCTTCTGCTTTTACTTTAGGAAGAATCCTCTTGGTTTGAAACTGAAACTACTTACTGTTTCCTTTGCTCAGGTCTTGTTACACAGCCCTGTAACAGCAGTGACAGCAGACTGACATGGTTGAATGCTGGAACTGAAGGCTAGCCAGCACCTTCTATTTGGGTAGTTAAAGTTGGGCTGGGTGACAGTCTGTATACAGTGGGATTTCTCGGCGTTGGAAACCAGTGACTGTCATAGCACACACAGCCAGGTGCTGCTTTGGTTTTTTTCCAGGAAATGCTTTGTATGTGAGGTTTTGTTCCCCAGCCGCAGCTGATGTAGTAGTGCAGTTAAAGCAGTCGTGCTCTGCTACCCGCAGGTTTTTCGTCCCTTATCTGTCGCTTCCTATGGCTCTAATAAGTGATTTAGGAAATCTGTGCTTATTTCAGAGCCTGAGAGTTCATTCCACAACTCTATCCTAGGATTTTCATTTCCTTCCATGATAAAAATTTGGTACCATTGTCAGTACTGTGTATGTGATCTGATGGTTGTTTTGTGCAGGTTTTTTTTTTTGGCCTACAGATTGTCATCCGATGTGAATGCAGTAGAAATTATGAATGTATTTTCTGCACACTGGTTTTCTGAAAGTCTTAGATAGAAATGGTTTTGTCTGTCCCTAGTGAAACAAAGCAGAAGGAAATTCTTATTTCTTAATGCATTTTCATAAGTTAAACAAGGCCACGTTACTTTATGCTGATGGCATGAAGGGATTTTCCTACCTATTTTAAGAGTTACTCTGGTGAGCTACAGTTTAAATTTGGCAGTTCATTTAACCACTTGGAAGAAAGTAAAGCATCGTGACAGTTTAATACATGAATAATCTGTTATTTGAGCCAATATGTGTATGTACAAATATAGCTTTTGGAGAAAGAACCAGTGGCCAGCATCTTCAGGGGCTATGCTGGTGATACAAGAACTCCTATCACTGGTGGGGCTGTTCACCTTCCAGGCATGCCCAGGGCACAGTCAGCCAGAACAACCCATGGTAAAATTTTCAAGAAACAATTCAGGCAAAGAATAACCTGATGGTACTTCCTTGGAGAGGTGTACACAAGGGGTGCGAGGACAGAGAAGACCAGTTTCTTTTGTTCCTCCTATACACGTGCTTTCTTGAGGCTGTGCTGAATTTTGGAGATTTTTTTCTGAGCAATTGGAGATAATTATTCTTGTAAATGAAGGCAGCTTTACTAATCACACCCAGGCAAGACTGCACAATGGTTAGGAACCATAAACTACTAAAAGGCAGTAGAGAAGTGTGTGCAGATTCACAGAAAATGCTTTTGCAATTAAAGAATATTTTCCTTGAGGTTGCTTGTCTTTGTGTTTCTTCTGTTTTTGAACAGGATTACCAAAGCCCTGTGATACGGAGCGCAGTTTGTGGTGTACTACCAATTCTTTGTAAATAAATTTTCCAGGATTAGAAAATGGCAGGGAGGTCATTTTCAAAATCTTCTTTGAAGACACCTTTACTGTCAAGTTGTTAATGTGCTTGGAGCACGTAGGTAGTGTGCTGCTGTTTTGAGGTTTGGTTGGAAGCTTTTTGATCTAGTTATACAGAAAAAGCTGTTGGCCAGTGTTAAACTGTACAGGGTGCTAAGAGTAAAATTTTGAAGTCTTAACCTGTATCTTGAGACGAAAAAGCTCCAAATTTGGAAGCAGTAGATTGGGAACAGCCTGACGGATAATCTTATTTCTATCCATGTCTTCACTCCTTCTGAGACTTTTTTTTTTTAACCTTTGTTTCTTTTGTTTGTAAAAATCACCCCTGTTGACTCAAGCAGCAGCATGAATGTTTACAGCTCCCCAGGAGCAGGAGGCTATTGCTCCCATGGTGTTAAACCACATAGGTGCTTCTGTGAAGCTCAGTGCTGCAGATACAATGAATTGAAATGCTTGGATCTATGCAGGAAAAAAAGAGCCTAATAAACACTGTCACATGTAACACAGTTAAGTTGGACATTGTGCCTAAGTAACAGTTTGGAGGATATGATTTATCTCACTGAACCTTAGGTTGGAAAATGCAGCAGAAGATCTTAACCTTTTGATTTTGATGTCAAAAATATTAATTGATTTTTCAGAAGTTGAAAACATGCAAAAACTTAAGGAGGAGTTAATGTCTTTTTTTCCTGCAAATTCGGACACCTCATAGATGAGTGGTCCTCACCTTGATTTATGCCAGGAATGCTCAACAATGTTAAAATAGTAATTGCTTTGTATGTAGTATTAATTTAGTGCTTTGTTAACATTACTGCCTGTGTTTTAAGATTCCATTTCATGTCCATATTCAGATGCAATTTTCCAAAAGAGTTATTTCTTCTTACATGATGAAACTTCTGAATGGAGCACCGAAAAACATTTTCATTTTCTACTATAAGCGTAATTATTATTATTATGTTGGTTTTCTAGTATTGAGTGACTTGAAGTTGGTATATTCACTCAGAAAATGCAAAGAGCAGACCTGCTCTTAATAGGAAGGTGTATGTTTCTGATTCTGAAGATTTTTTGTATCAGTTTCAATTTGAGTAAGCAGGCTTCTAAAGACAGCCCTTGTTTTTATGGTTGTAGCCATAATGACAAAAAACATACAGTCATACATTGGTTCACCTTCAGTGAAACATCTGCCTACGAAAGTGTCTGTGGCTCCGTGGCGCGTCCTTCCTGTGTCCTCCATAGAGTGCTCCTCTGAGGTTAAGCAGCAGCTGCAGCAGTTGGCTGAGCTGTGGCATATCTTCACTTGGTATCCATATCCCACTACTGCTATGTGTTTTGGAGCAGCTCTCAGGTTTTTCTTCTCAGGTTTGGAAAATCTCAAGTTCTTAATATGAATGTGTGAAGATGTGAAGACCTTGCATCCCAGCAAGTAGTTTGCAGATAGGAGAAATGTGATATGTTGGTACACATTATTACTGTTTTTTTGTAAGACATCTTAAAGTTTGTTGCTTCTTTTCAACCACTAGGTTCGCCATAAAATGACACAGAAGGTTTATGCAATGAAGCTGCTTAGTAAATTTGAAATGATCAAGAGATCAGATTCAGCCTTTTTCTGGGAAGAAAGAGATATCATGGCCTTTGCCAATAGTCCATGGGTGGTTCAGGTAAGGAAGATGCGTGACAGTAAAATAATGATAGTAATAAAGGCATAAACCTTTCCTAGACTTGAATTTACAACTAAGCTCAAATAATGGGTTTAAATTCAGATCATAATTTCTTTAAGATGTATGTTTACAGAAATTTCAATGAGTTTTCTGTGTTTGGTTATGTTAGAAGGTAGATTAAATTGCATTTTGGTCACTACAAATACATCATACCATGGAATTACAATTCTGAAGTACAGAAGTAACCATAAGGGTGCTGAAGCACAGGCACTAATTGCCCAGAGATGTGGTGGATGCTCCAACCTGGAAACATTCAAGGTCAGGCTGGAAGGGGCTCTGAGAAACATGATCTAGTGTAGATGTCCCTGCTGATTACAGGGGAGTTGGACTGGATGACCTTTAAGGGTCCCTTCCAAATCCAATGATTCGGTGATTCTATTTGGAATAATAGGGAGGTAAGATAACATTCCAGCTAGGAAGAATTCTGCATATGAATGTAGAAACAAATGTCAGCTTTATTTCCAGTCTTTCCTGGTGATATGGTCACTTGATCACTAGAATTCAGTATTATGAATGCTTTAAGTTGTTAGTGGCTTTCTGTCTGCAGTATTGTAGATGAAGGAGTGCACAGTCCAGGTCTCCTACAAGACAAAGCACTGTTATCAGTGCTTTGCTTGAAACCATCTTCTATTCAGTGGTCTGTTACTGCATCTCAGCTCAGAAGTAATATCCCTCAGCTGATGGAGAGTTGACTTTCTCAAATGTTCTTAGAAATCATTGCTTGCATCCATCTCATGGTATTTGTTATCACGTTTGTAAATTGGATTATCCCTTTGGGAAGGATTAGTGCTAAATACTGCAATTTGTTATATTTGGTAAATTACACCAATTAATAAGGTTACACCAATTAATTAAATAGTGAAAGCATATATTTAGTGAAAAAATGTTACCATTTTAGTTTGTTAAATAATTAAAACATTTAAACCCTCTCTGATACATTGCTGTGCTCCTGTAGTTTTGGAAAGTAAAGTTATGCTTTAGGCTTTCCATGTTTTTTCCATAATATTCCTTATATATGCAAGAAGCCGTTCGTAACTTTTTTCATGTAGATGTTCTGTTCTTGTGAGCACATTCTGTGTTCTTACTTGAATTCAGTAGAAATACTTAACAAAATAGACTAATTTACTGCTGCAGTTTTTTGACAAACATCTGGAGGTATTTGTAGTTTTTACAATTCAACTAAACATGCAACTGAAAATAGATGTATGACAGTTATCAAGGGATAGTGTAGTAGGCATGATATAAATATATATGTGTATGTAGAAGGTGATAGAATCACAGAATCAGAATGGCTTGGGTTGGAAGGGACTGCACAGATCATCTAGTTTCAATCCCCCTGCCATGGGCAGTTGCCACACACTAAACCAAGCACTAGATCAGGCTGTCCATGTTAAATGAATCAAAATGTGGTTGCAATTTGTGCCTTCTGCGGTGAAGAGTACGGGTGTGATGTATATAAATACTTTGGTCCAGGGGGATTGGAGCTGGTTTTATGAAAACGTCAGTCCTGTTCTGAGCAGAAACTGGGACAAATGGCACAGCTTCCCTGCTCCTTCTATTTCATGTGAAAGAAGAGGTGAAAGCAGAGCCCTAGATAACGTTGATTTTATAAAATCCCTAAGGACTGATACTGAAAGTGCTGTCTAAAGGCATTATAAGGCTGTATAAAGGATTGTGATTTATCACTGTGTTAAATAAACACCTTTATATGTGGGAATACAGAGACTATTTTGGATTTTAGTTCAGCCTTTAATGATTAAATAGATGTTTATGTTCTATGTTTTATATACTGTCCATTTGCAAAATAAATACAATGTTATATGTATGTGTATGCAGTAATGTGTGTTTGTAACACAAGTCTTCTTTCACCAATGAGCAGTAAATTTTACTCTGAAGGTCCTATCTCTGTAATAATTTTCCTGCCTTCAGTGGTCTCCCATATTTCACTGCTGAGTGAAATTCTTTGAAATTTCTCTCCTCAAAGTCTAAAGTACATTTTAAAGAAGCTGAACTTACTGTCATCCCTGTAAGAAGATAGCAGCTGCAATATCAATCAAACTGTAATTTCATTGTTAAGTCCTTTAGATTTTGCAACCATATTTAATTTTTTTCTCATTTCAATATGTGTGTGAGTTTAGGACAAAGTCAGCATTAACATACGTTTTTATAAATCTATATGGAGATGTTATATCTAAATTTATAGTATGTGAAACTCAAAAGCAGACTAACATACTATTCACTATTCAATTATGTTAAGATTGTTGCGAGACAATCCCTACACCTGGTGTAGGGAACCTGCTTTGGCAGGGGGGTTGGACTCAATGATCTCTGGAGGTCCCTTCCAACCCCTACAGTTCTGTGATTCTGTGAAGACGCCTGCTTTCTCAGATTTAATATTTTGCATTTTCAGTTGTAGAGATATCTTTTATGTCAAGAAACACAGCAATGTAGATAGTCATGCTACTGATGTAACCAGGAAATCTTTTTCATTTCCTGTAAAAGTAGGGATTTCTGAAGTTTCAAGTAAAATTCAGGTTTATGCCATAATTAGAAACGTAGATTATTTGAATATAAAAAATAAAGTTATTTTACATCAGTAAAAATTGTACACTCAGGTTTAATGAAACCTCAGGTACTTTATTATTTCTCCTAAATGTCTCTGAAAAGTAGCTGCTCTTTTTCCTAATTTATTTTTCCATTTCACAGCTTTTTTGTGCCTTTCAAGATGACAAATACTTGTACATGGTAATGGAATACATGCCAGGAGGAGATCTTGTAAACCTTATGAGCAATTATGATGTGCCTGAGAAATGGGCCAAGTTCTATACAGCCGAAGTTGTTCTTGCTCTTGATGCGATTCACTCCATGGGCTTGATACACAGAGATGTGAAGCCTGACAATATGCTATTAGATAAACATGGGCACCTGAAGCTGGCAGATTTTGGCACTTGCATGAAAATGGATGAAGTAAGTATGCAACTGAATAATTTATCATCTATGAGACTGTAATTCTAAGGATACTTTCACTTGAGTTACAATACCCAAAGGAATGCTTATCAAATGGTCCACTTGGTTGGAAAGCTGTTTCTTGTCTCCTATCTTTAAATACAGGAGTACTTTAAATAGTTGAACATTGTCTGTAATAAATTGTTCTGGCACATGGAAGGGGGAAATAAATTTATTTTTGGTCACTTTTGAAAGCATGCGTTTGTGAATTTCTGGGGTTCATTTCTTTGCCAAGTTTATTAGACAGCTCCTAGTTTCAATATTAGCAACCTTGGAACAGTTCATAAGCTGACAGTTTTCTATAAAAGATATTATTTTATAGCAGATACAGGCCCTATTTTTTTTTCTGATTGTTCTCATAGCATCCTCTAGTGGTCATTAAACTGAGGTCACAATAAGGCAGCAGTGGTATGTGATCTAAAGATTAAAATTTGTTAGCTATTAGTCAAAATGTCATATTTTAACTGTCTAGATTTTATCATCTGCAGCCAAATGCAGTTTTCTAATGAGGTTGCATAAGTGTAACTACTGTATGTTTAACAGATGTACTACATGTATTCCTGTAGGAGACTATCTTTGTAATTTGTGCTTTTAAATCTTCCATGACAAACAGTATCGTGCAATTTACACAGTATATTCTTCTTGTGAAATTATAACAGATTCTCATAAACTGTGTATGATTGTATGTTATCACTTATCAGGCCTTTGAAGAGTTTCTTTGTTTATCCTTTTTAAGCTTATTTGCTTCAGTGTGTTAAATTCTTTCTGTGTTATTTAGGCTGCATTTAGTATAATCTCTGCAATCTATTAGTTTGCATTTGCATTAAGTTAATATATATATTTCTATCTAGAAATGCTTTTTCTTTCCTTTTTTTTCCTTTTCTTTCAAATGTCAATATATTACTGCTGAACAAATGCAGCTATTTATTGAGACCTCTGTTGTGCTGATATTGTTATTCTAAGGACATTTACTTCCACTTTCATTATTTAGTTGCCTGTATTTTACTGGACAGTATTTACTTTAACTAGAGAAGTGAAAAGGTGTATTTGATCTCTTAATTTAATCTTTAAATTATTATTGTGAATAATTTCACCAATTAGACTGTTGAGTCTCAGGGGAATCTAATGTTCATCAGAAGAGGTAATAAAAAAGTTTCAAAAATTCATAATGTTGATCTAGTATAAAAAGTGCTTGTGGTACTTTAGGGAGCCTAGAAGTGGTGAACTTAAGCTGCTTTGTTTGTTTGTTTAGTTCTAAAAAAATGAAATTTTAAAATGTGGTCGATCATGTTGTAAATGTGAGATTGCTTGCATATCTCTTGCTATAGCAAGCTCCAGCTTAGATGAGGCATCATCAACAAATGGGTGATCTCCTAATGAAGTTAAATTTTAATTGGCTAAATTTTAAGTTCTAAATGTTTCTCAGACTCTGTGGAATGGCGAAAATATTTTATACAGGAAGCTTTAGAAGTTGAGAGGCGCTGGACTGTCTCCAAATCTCATGCTACTTCTTACAAAACATGAACACATCCCAGCTGCGTAAACATAATATTGATGTTGGCAAGATGATTTCTAGAAAATGTATGCTTACCCAGCACTTATTTATTTTTTTCTGACTCGGAGTTCTTTTAGTAGTTGTGCATATCTTCCTCATGCTGTCGAGACTGAGGAGAACTCTGCTTCAGTTTGGTGAGAGACACAGTTTGGAAGACGAACTTTTTTAGTACTTGCTGGGGGATTGAAATGAGTGTTCTCTTAAGTTGTTGTCCAAGCCAGCCCAGACACTTGCAGCAGAATTCCTCCTTAGTATGTGGAAAGAATTGTTTAGTCTTTCAGTGATGTTTTCCAACATAAAAGGAATTGGCCCATTTATTTAACTTGACTGTGATGGTTTGTTGTTGTTTTTTTTGTTTTTTTTTTTTAATCCATTACAAGGTGAATATCTGTAATTGAGTAAAGGATGGGGCTGGCCTCAAAGGTTTAATAAAAAGAATCCCAATGCAGGTTTCACCAGACTCTATTTGTTAGGTTTTCTTTAAGTAATAAGCTAGACAGTATCATGACTGAGTACTGAGAGTGTTGTAGGGGCATCAACTGCTGGATGCTGTCAGGTCTGTATGTAACTGTGGCTTCTGCTGACTGAACTTTCAGGAAAGCACAGGCTTAAAGGATATCTGTTGCAAAGAAATAGGAGCAAAAGGAAGCCATTTACCACTTGGGATCATTTCCTCAGATAGCTGAGCTGAAAGATTAAACACGTTCGTCTTCTTACTCAGTTTATTTCACAGAGTCTCAGAATGGTTGAGGTTGGAGGCCATCTGGTCTGATCCTCTGCTCAGCAGGATGCCTGTTTCTCCTTGATGCTCCTCCAGGACTGCACTGAATCCTTCTTACTTCAGTTCGTTGTTGGTAGTGTGGTAGTCAAACCTGAGAGTAGCATTAACACCTGATCTGTACTATCCTGACATGCCTGCACCAGCACTCTCCAGTTCTTGTTTGCTGATAAGATATTAATGAGGGAATTAAAGCCTCATTTTTAGCCTTGTTCCAAGACAGTGAGTCATTCAAGTGTACCTGAGGTCTTCCAGAGAATGAAACCAGAACTGCTTTGCCTTCAGAGATGTTACAGTTCTGTAAGGTGCTGAGAAATGCAGTAGCCTCACAGCCAAATTTTCCTAAGCCATAAATGCATATTGTCTCTTTGACAACCTTTTTCTTTTGCAGTTGTTCAAATCTCCCAGGTATCTGCAGGAACTTCCATCAGATGGAGTTCCAAGATACACCTTGGTGTGTCATCTGAGGTGATGAGAAAAGCCTCAGGTAAAAGAGTAGCCTGAGACTACTGAGAAAAGAACTGCTGTACTGTGTGCTGTTCAGGCATCAGAGGCTGACAGGACTGACACTTTGTCCAGAGAAAACAGCACCCTTCAGATCTCTTCAGCTGATGAAGTGCAGAATGCAAAAGTCATCTCACAGAATGTTCAGTATGCCAAGATGTCATGTAGCACACAAGGGACTTCCCTGTTTACTTGGCTTTGATGCCAGATCACAGAAGCTTGTAGGATTATTGTAGTAAGAATATCCAGTACTTAAAAATGTACACAGGGCAACACCTAGGTTTTGTTTTTTGTTTTTTACAGTATGATTGCATAAATGAGAATGACAGGAATGTTGGAATGTTCAGTAAGACAGTAATGTATTTTCAGATCTACTTCTGGGACAGAAGGTAGGGAGTTCTGTGGGGAGAGCTGCGCATGCTTAAGAGAAATAGAGCCCATTGAAAACTGACATGAGCACATAAACCCCTTTTGCCTGTAAAAATATTTTTGTTTAAATGTGTTCTCCTTCGACATCTTGCCTGAAAAGTTAGGGTTATTACCTGGAATTCTTCAGCATCCATAAGATAATTGACAAGGTTTCTTGTCACTGTGTAGCAGCTGTCTGACTTGGGTAGGGCTGGCTTTTCTTTGGCACAACCTTTGCTTTGTTTGCATAAGACTTCATAAAACATTAACATGTATGAAATATTAAAAGGTGATCTTGTTTTGCTGCATTAATTACAGAGGAGTGGGAAATTGGATGTTATTAAGTGCTTGGGTGAGGAGATGAGGCTGGTCTAAGTACACAGCTCTTGTGACTAAAGCCGTGGTCTTCAGAGAAATCTTTCAGGACTCTTCTGCTGACATCTGTTTAATGAAAACAGAAAACAGAAGTTCAACTGCTGTAACTGAGAAGTTAAACTCCCCTTATGTTTCAGCTTCATCTTTAGCGTCTTCTTCGTTGTACAAGAAAATAAGCATTTACAATGAAGGGGTTTTCAGTGCTGCTTAAGTCTTTGCAGTATTTAATCATCACTTTAGTTTTAGCGTACCGGTTCATGACCTTCCAATATTCTCTTTGAATAAATAAATGTTTTTGGCAGTTCGTATTCTATGTGAAAAGAATAATGTAATTGGATGTCTAATTTTTACATGTAAATGCAGTTCCAAAAGCAAAATGATCCTTTTTATTTCCTTAAACATGAATTTCCATTTCAGTTGTTCCTACCAATATTCTGTACTAATATTCAGCCAAAGGTGATGGAAAATGCATGGAGAACTTTCAAAGGTAACTTGGACATTGCTTTAGGCTGAGTGGCAGAGTCACAGATGAGTGTATTTTTGGTACTTCTTTGGCTTTATCCGGGATTTAATTTCATTCATCCATCTGGTCTCTCTGGAATGAATGCAGTGAGTTTCATTAAAGGCAACAAGGCTCTAAGTTTGAAGCAGCATGCTGCCATATCTGACAATGTTTCTACATCATTTAGCTCCTGCAGAGTGTGAAGCAAAGAGGATAAATAATCACACCATTAATAAATGATTAATAAAAGAATCATTACATTAATAAAAATCAGTTATATTTTACTTTATTTTTCTTAAGCCCTGTTCTTTAAAAATAGCTTTTACTTTCAACTTAAGGTGTGACTATAAGAATTTACCTATAATTTGGTGTATTGTTTGAATTACACATATTATGTATATGCTACGCAGGACTTAAATAATCAAAGTTATTCAGAAGCTCTTCTATGAATTCAATGAGATAAGCAACTATCCAGTACAGCACATGTTTGTTCATATTGAAACCAAGGGTAATACTACAAAACGTGCACATTTTTGAAATGCTGTTATCAAGAGAAATGGCTTAGTGTAGCCAAAGGGGAGAGTGGGTTAACAGGATTTGTCAGTTCAGACTGTTTCTGGAATAAAAGTCAGAGCTTTCAAACGTGTACCTCAAACCAAATATTTTGGATTATTATTTTTCTTTCTTTTTTTTTTTTTTCCTGGTCTACTAATAGGCTTTCTGAAGTTTTGTGTAAGGACTGAGCAGCAGTTTTAACGGAGCTGTTTGAATTGTTGCTGTTGCACAGACAGGTATGGTGCGCTGTGACACGGCTGTTGGAACCCCCGACTACATATCCCCTGAAGTTCTGAAATCACAAGGGGGTGATGGTTATTATGGACGGGAGTGTGACTGGTGGTCTGTAGGAGTTTTCCTTTTTGAGATGCTGGTTGGTAAGTAGAATTTCTTCTGCTAAAAAGGTTGTGGTTTTAGTCTGTGCTGAGCCTCTCTTTGCTTTGCTATTAGGGGCTGGTTGTACGTCATTATCTAACAGCTTCTGGCTCTTGATTGATGCAGTTGTTTCATCCCTGTTCCCTTGGCTTTGTCTCTCTTATGCTGTCTGCGTGTTTGCACAGCGAGGAGTTCTCTGACTTGGTTCAGCTTAAAACTAATTTTTAGAATATTTTTTATCTTGGATTGCCTACCTCACAGTCTCAGTAAATGCTTATGCCATCTTCAGGTCTGTATTGAGTTGTTAGGGACACAGAGATGGGAAATGAGTGGGAAGGACAGAACTGCTTTTGTTTTGTTTGTTTTTGTGTTTTCTTTTTCTTCCTCTCCCAGTACTAGCAATTTGTTACTGATGGGTCAAAATGTCTCTGGAAGTATGGCTTGATTCTTTCTTTTGTGTTTGTGTCAGGATTTTCCAATAAAATAAACTGGATTGCTATGGCAACTAACATAGAATATAATCAGTTAAGGACATGAGTCATATGCAACTTAAAATACTCAGAAGATCAGTATTACAGGAACTGTGAGGAACTGTGCATGTAATTATGCAAAGTACAAAGCAGAATCTTTTGGGGATATTGCAGATGTGATGTTTCTGGCATCCTGAGCCCTGAACGATGCTTTCATAGAATCACAGAATGGCTCAGGTTGGAAGGGGCTCCAGAGATCATTAAGTTCCAACACCATTGCCACAGGCAGGACCACCAACCTCAAGATCTGGTACTAGAACAGGTTGCCCAGGGCTGCATCCAGCTTGGTCTTGAACACCTCCAGGGATGGAGCATCCACAGCCTCTCTGATGCTTTGATATGTGCTGCTACTGAAATCTCCTGGTCTTTGGGAATTAAAGCATTTTGATGTATAAAATATATATTTTGTAATTAATAGTCTCATAAACGATTTTAGCAATAAATGAATTTCTTCAGTAATTCAAATATTAGACATTTACTCAGGGGCATGATTTAGCAGAGGGTTGTTAGAGTTAGGGTAATATGGTTGGGTTGCGGTTGGCCTTGATGATCTTTAAGGTCTTTTCCAATCTGAGCAATTTTATGATTCTATGACATAGATGCCCACAAATGTTTTCTCAGGGCTTGTTGGTTTTTTTGTTTGTTTGTTTTTGTTTTTTTAAACCGCATCTGAGAGGATGGTCCCTTTGTTATTACTGTAACCAAAACATCTTTTGAAGTGAAAGTAGAGAGGTACAGTTTTTGCAGGAGCTGAATTATATAAAGGAGCCTCTACTTGTTTGGAACAAAAATCCTTCTGCATTTCTCTGCGTCATCTTGATGTTATTCCAGGCTTTCAGTATGAGTGGCTAAGCTGAGGGGGCTTATATTTGGTATAGTTTTTCCTAAAATTTGGAGTTGTGTATTGAAAAATTTCTGACATATCATAAATTTCATGCATTTTTCCTACCACAGGCTATCTATCTTGTTACAATATTTGAATCTATGCTATTTTTACAACTTTTTTTTCCTTCAGTACTAATGTCATTTTTTTTCTCTACATTATAGACTGGAATCTTTGCTTTCATTAGCTCTGTGATTTTCACACTTTCAGAAGGGTGTGAAATAACAGTTTTGTTTCTGTTGCAGTTCTGGACTTGTCAGAATCCTACATGTGATTAACACTGTACTCCTCCTGCTGAATTCCATCTATTGGCTTTTTGTGAAGTCTTCATGTGTTATTACTTTTTTTTTTTTTTCTCTTTTTAATCCAAGCTTCTTTCTGCCTCTGAGAAGGGAATATGATTTTCTACCTGCGCAGTCTTTTTTAAATGCTTTTGAAATCTGCTTCACCTTTATACTGAAAATTACAGGGCTTACTTGTGCCCTGTAATTTTTTTGGTTATTTGTTATTCATCATCATATTCCAATCTGCATTGTATTTCCCGTCTAACAGCGCCAGCGTGGTTCCCTTCAGTGACTTTGTTTGCAAACACAGTATTTGAGGCTTATGTCAGATTCATTTGACAGTGTTTGAAGAAACATGCAGCTTCTCTTAGATAACTGTATAGCTTTTCTGGTTCTTGTAACTGAACTAGAAATAATTAGGCTATTCAAGACAGATCTACTCCCACAGACATTGCTATTATGAAACAGACACCAATGAGATTGCCTAGGGAGGTGGTTGAATCACTTTCCTTGGAGGTATTTGTGGAAAAATGGTGGTGGCAGGTGGGCATTTGGAGGTCTTTTCCAACCTTTTTGACTCTGTGATTCTATGAGATGGTTTGGAATATTTGAGACTGCCCAACTCTGGAGGTGAGGAGGTGCTGGAGGTGAGGCCGCATAGCACAGAGCAAAGCAGGGCAACACTTCCCCTCTCCCAGTGGCGGTGCTGGGCCCAGTGCAGCCCAGGCTATGGCTGGACCTTCTGTCTGTAAACACACTTTTGGCTCATATTCAATTTGCTGCCAAGTTTATGTCAGTAAATAAACTAAAATTAATTGAATTTTGTGCTTCAGAACTTTGGATGAAAAAGGTGGCTTTTTAAATCTCAGCCCTGGCTGTACTAATATGGACACCCAAGGTGATACAATTCGACAGTCAGCAAGATTAGTGAGTGCAGGTTTAGCTGTGCCTGACGTGCTCTGAAGGCTCCCCAGGCAGCTCCAGGGGCAGGGCTGGCCTGCCTGCCTCTGAAATGCTCCTGGGAGAGCAGTGGTGGAGGCTTTCCAAGGAATGTGCATCTGCAAGTTGTTAATGAGGTTCAGTCTCTTACACCCATGACAGAGCATGAAGAGATGGTTACATGTCAGTGTCATCACTGTGTAAATTAGAGAATGGTGACACCAGTCAGGTAAAATGTACAAATCACTGGGCAAAAGTTTTGGTAGTAATGTGTAATTCAGTGTGTAATGAAGGTATTTTGTCACAGGAACGTTTTTAGTAGTATATATTATTCTGTACCCTGCATATTCTCTGTTTCCTTCATTAGAAAACAGCCTTAGGCAAAATTGCTTGTAGAGTTTGTGCCTCTTCACTTTTTGGTCTTCATCTTACACTACTTCAACATTATTCAAAATCACAATCAGTTTACCATTTTATTTCCAGGTGATACTCCTTTTTATGCAGACTCCTTAGTAGGGACATACAGTAAAATTATGGATCACAAGAACTCACTACATTTCCCAGATGATGTAGAAATCTCTAAGCATGCAAAGAACCTCATCTGTGCCTTCTTAACTGACAGGTATGTGCATGTGTTGTTTTGGTTCTATTTCTGTTTCAGATAGTACTAACACATGTTCATTGTAAAAATCAATTTCCATTACACCAACTAATTTCAATTCTCCTCTGCAAAATCATCCACACATGGGTTTTTCTTATGGGTTATTTTTCTAGGCGTTGTATTTTATTTTTTGGAGGGGTTCTGGCAGCTCTTGATACAATGTAATCTGTACTGAAGAAATCCTCCCATCTGTGGCTCGGTGTGAAATAGAGCAGCAAACCTGAAAGGCTGGAAGTAGTTTTTGAGCTCTGAAAGGCAGGGAACAAACTGTGATGAAGTGGATGCTGCTTATAAAAAATAAAAACATACTTTCATGAAAACAAGCCTATATTTGCCTACTTTGTTTGAAATTTCATAGAATGTTCAAACTTTTCTCTTTTAGCTAGTGTTACTAACTGACAAGTATAGCTAATAGAGAAAAAAGATGTTGTCCTGGATATAATTAAATCATCGAGTTCTCCCTTCATGGAGCTGAGCGTTTTTTTGTTTTTTATTGATATTAATCTGTGTAAGTTCATTCTTGACCTGAATTCTTAAATTTTCTTTAGTGCCAGAAAGCAGAGGTTATCTTAGATTTCTCTGATTAAAGAAAATGACACTTAGGTTCAAATTTAACTCCGGATTGATGATGTGTCACCACCTCAGTTTGACTGCAGCCGAATGTTCAGCTTCTAGGGATTGAGGGATCAGTAGGAAAAAAGCCAACAACAATCATAAATGAATAAATTGCCTTACAATGGTTTTTATACTCACAGAGAGGATTGTTCTGCTCAGTTAAAATATATTTTAAGTGTTTCTAACCCTCAGTAGCTGCAGGGCAGACAGAAAACAGGAGCAGAATTGAATAACGTGAGTGCAGCGAGGTTTATTTCCCCTACGTGTGTTTGTCTTCCTGTTTATATTTAACGCAGCGCTCAAGCAATTTATTTGAAACAGATGCCTTCTTTCTGTGTGCGTGATCAGTGATGAGGCACTTAGAGGGACAAGAAGGAATAAGCATCCACCCTATGATTTATTAGTTCTGTTGCACGCATTGGTTTTATGTTCTCACAGATAGTTTTAAGAGAGACTTCATTTGGTCGAACTAGAAGTTTCTTTTTGAACTTGAGATTTACTTCATTGTAAATATCAGCAAAAGACGTGTCAGGGTTACTTATGGGGCAGAGGATGGAATTCTTAAAATATTTATTTCAGTTCAGCCTTGAATAACTGTTCTGTGCAGTAAGTTAGACCTTCCTTCACTTGAGCCTTAAGGTTTGTCATGTGGTTTGGCAGACATCGGCCCTTGGCAGTTTCTTCTTCCCCTACGGTGCTGGCGTTTTGTTTTTCTTTTGAGTTTCTTCTGAGCTTTTGCCTTAGTGCTCTCTTTCTTGCTTTTCTCCTCACGTGGCAGACTCCAACTTCTGGACATTTAAGCAGTAACAGGGAGAGTGGATATTATATATTTTTATATAAATACATTTTCATATGAGAAACTAAGGATCATTGGTTGGTGTGCTTTTCCTTTCTTTTTTTCTTTTATTTGACCACTAATGTGTTTTACACAGAAAATCTTTACTGACAGCAAGTTATAGTAAAAACAAAACAAGTGCTGTTTTTCCTAACGTGAATTTGGCTTAATTGCTATGTTCAGGGACGTGCGACTTGGGAGGAATGGGGTAGAAGAAATAAAGCATCACCCTTTCTTTAAGAGTGACCAGTGGAATTGGGACAACATCCGAGAGAGTAAGTAGATTAGCTTGAAAGTTGTATATTTGTTCAGTATTTGCATAAGGCTACTTAACAGTAATAGTACAAATGCAAAACGCTGTAAGGCTGTATAAACTAAGTAAATATTTTCTGGCTATCAAGAATTTTGCCTGAACTTTTTTATTTATCATTTATGTTCTTAAACCTGTATCAGTAGGAGTAAGAGAAATGTCTTCTTTCCAAAAGTATTCTCATATTTACTATTTTAATTTATAGTTTTCTGTTTTGAATAGCAAAGCTGAGTGTTTTAGAAATCTAAGCAGAAAGGCTGCTTGTTGCGTTCTATTTCTGTCTGACTTGTTATTGTTGTTTTGATGGTTGTCTTTTTTTTCTTTGTTTCAATTTTTTTCTTAATCTGTGGCTAAGGCTACATTGAGAGTGGGCTTGTTGGTTTCATTGCCTTTTGTTTAAGAAATTGTGAGTTTGATTGCTGTAAGAAAAAAAACCAACCACTTTGATTCATGAGCTTGATCATAACTTCTAAAGATGTATTTACTGAAGTTTCTTAATATGGTGATTATATTTAGTGTTCCATTCTAAAACGTGATGACCTTTGCAAATACATTGTGTGCATAAGATATGCCATGTATTAAGCAGCTCATGTAAATGTGAAAATACTTCAATTTAAGAAAAAAAAAAAATATTCATAGTAATATTTAGAGATCTGCTGCATGATTAATACACATTTAACTAGCAGGACAACCTACATCATAGGCTGAATCTTGGAATTAAGTTGATCTTTTCTTTCCTTTCTGTAGCTGCTGCTCCTGTTGTTCCTGAGCTTAGTAGTGATATAGACAGCAGTAATTTTGATGACATTGAGGATGACAAAGGAGATGTGGAAACCTTTCCAATCCCCAAAGCCTTTGTGGGAAACCAGCTGCCTTTTATAGGATTTACCTACTATAGAGATAATTTGTATGTGAGACTTTAATGTGTATTTTTAGAAATATACTTTCAAGTTTCTCATATAGCCTATCCTTTCTTTTTCACTCTAGATACTTAATTTATTCATTGCCTTATATTCATTTCTGTTCAATTATAAAGATAGAAGATGCAGAGTTTAAGTAGAATATATCAGTTGTGGTTACCTTGATAATTCTTATGAAATAAATAGTATTTTTATATGCATAAAAATATATAGTGTCTTTAAAAATCTGCTGTAGGTTTAAAAAACTGCTAGGTTTGTAATTTAGCTCTAAAATTGCTTCTTGTTGGGTTGGGTGTTCAGAAAAATGTTTATGCAATGTAATAGCTTGCTAGGACATCAGTTGCTATCTACTTGCCTTTGTTTTGTTTGATTAATCATATTCAGTGTGTCTGAATAGCTGTGAATGAATTGGGTATTAAGTAAAAATGATAAGCTGATATGGACTTGAAAATGTCTTAAACGTTAGTCTTTGTTTTAAAAAGGCTCAAATCATTCTGATTCACTGGAATAAAACAGGCTTCATTCTGAGAATCAGTTAGGACAAAATAAGGCTTGAGAGAAACGATTGAAATGTGTTTCTTGGCGAGGTTGCCAGAGTTGTTGAAAACTTGAATAAGGGCAGGAGGGATTTGTTTTTGTTTTTGACAGGTTGCTAAGTGACTCCTCTCAGTCTTGCAGAGAAAATGAATCGGTGCAATCTAGTAAAAATGAGGTTAGTGCCTTTTTTTTTCCTGTAAGTGTTAAGGAATGATTAACTAATTTTGTTAAATCTGTTAGGAGGAGGCAGAGTTTTAAGCAAGGAATCAGATATTCTGGGGAGCACTCTTTTAATGCTCCTCAATAAAAATGATGAATTCTATCTAGAGGACAGCAAGGAGGTGAATATATTTGAATTATGAAAGGAATCAAATAGTTCCCACTTAATTTGTGTGAACAGGATATATCATTAAATACTGTCGATGTTTATGCACCAAACCGTTAACAGTGAAGTGTCTGTAGCAGCTTCTGAATGAACTGTTGTACTCGAATGCACAGGTCCCGCGCTGTGACGATGAATGAGAACACATTTCTCTCTGATTCTTCTGGCATTTACAATTTGGTTTGAAAACAAATGTGTAGGGCTCTGTTTGCCCCAAACAGCATCGCCCTTGGAAAGGCTGTAGTTCTTGGCTGCGCGCTGCGATTTGTGGCACGTTTATCCAGAGTTTGGAAAATTAAGTTGTCAACTATAGTGACAAAGGAATGTTTTTGAGCATAAATCTTTCTCTCAGTTGAAGTGAGTGTGTGAAGCTCCTTTATTGAGCTTTTCAAGATTGCCAACTGAATTTAAATATGCAGATGAGAGAAGAATGCTACTAAATTTTCATGTATTTAGCTTACTTCATTACCCCACTTAACCATTTGTAATATTCAAGCGTAGTTTGTTAACGTTTGTTAAAACTTACTTAATTGTTAAACTTTGGAAAGGAAAGGCGTAGTGTAATGAACAACATAAATTTAAACGTGGATGTTTATTGGGCTCCACGTCTTTCCTTCCTGTCATTGGTGAATAGAATAAAAGTCTTAGTTTCCCTTTAAATAAAAAAAAGCAATCGTTCTTTCAAATACAGTTTCATGTTTCTCACATTTGCTTTCTATTGTGACAGTTGTTAAAATTTTGCATTTCACTTCTGACAGGTTTTTTCATTCTCATTTTCTCAAGCAGTGAGTCTCTAGGTTTTGATGTCCTTTTCAGTGTCCCTGTTTTGGGGATGTTATGATTTTGCATGTTGTATGTGTGGAGTAGAATAGGGATGAAGGAGGAAAAGAAATGTTTGAAGGCCTGAAGATGTGAAGCAATTCCAAAATTCATGTTTTATAATCTAGTTTTTTGAATTTTGGGTTATTTGATTCATATCTTTTTTATATTAAGCACAACAAAACATTCCCAAACTTTAAAACTGTTTCTAATTTTCTGCTTGTGAAAGAATTCCTCTCTCTGTGAGATCATGGTGCACGTTTCGTAATGTTCTCTGAATATTGTCCAGTTTGGTTATATGCCATTTTAATTTTTAAATCATGTATAGAAGAGACTGTCCCAAAAATTGTGCTCCAGACTCTAGGCAGGGAAAGAATACAGCAAATGACCAGAAGCAACATTATTTGCCTAAAGAAATTTTATGACTGTCACTTTGTGGTATGTAATTGTGTGATGTTTTGCTGTAATGCAGCATGCAGCAAATGTTATATCATAAAAATCAAGATTAATAACTTGTAATGGTGAGAAATAGAGACGAAATAACCTTCTGCTTAACAATTACCATCTGTTGATGAATTAAAAAAATCACAATTAATGGTTAAATTAATTTTCCATGCTTTCCCTTTTTTTGTTATTAAGCTGCTTTATACTTTTTTCATGTGATAACAGTCTTACTTAAAGACCATGCTTTTTTTGACTTTTTAACTCAGTTTCAGAAAAAACTAAGCAAGTTAGAAGAACAACTCAGTAATGAATTGCAAGCCAAAGATGAACTAGAACAGAAATACAGGTGAGATTGTTTCAGTGTGTTTGGTATGTTTGTAAAGAAATATTATTACACAACGGTTTGGCCTCTCCCCCCACTGCCTGCTTATCTCTGTACTTCCATAAGAATGTCTCTATTGTTTGAGTGACTTTCCCAGCCCTAGACGTTTAATGTGATTGCTGAAAATAGAATATCTTGCAAAAAAATTAATTGAACACATCCAAACACCCTATTTTTGTGTGTGGTCAATAGGGTTTAAAAATATTTTTCTTATTCCTTCAGGTCTGCTAATACTCGTTTAGAGAAGATAGTGAAAGAGCTAGATGAAGAGGTAAGTCAGTAGTTACTAATTACTGGAATTAAAACTTCAGCATTTGTATCTGAGTTTTTTCGTTAGGAACCAGCAGATTATTTTTGGTAGCTGTGTATTTATGGCAAGTTGGCAACACCAGCTGATTTGTTGGTATTGCAAGTGTGTTCTAACTGTGTCAGTAAAAGGACTGTATTTTGCACAGCTTTGCACCTTAATGCCTACTGCACATGTATATCTACAGAGGGCATGTGGAATGTGATGTGTTGTTCATACAGGTGCATGCTGAGATTTTACACTACATGGATGTTTCATGACTGCTAGGCAGGTTACAGCATTTGTTGAATGCAACCCATCCTACAGTCTTAGAGTGATAAAAGCTCCTGGCTGTAGTTGGTCTAGGATGGATGAACTTGTTCAGATGTTCTGATGCACTGTGTTTGCAGGAAGCAGATGGCACGTGTCTTTTTTCCACTTTGAAGTAAACTGTCTTTTAATCACTTTAAGATTGCCAAGATTCTTCACGTAACAAATGTGATTTGTTTTGCTCTTTTAAATATATCCAGATAACTTCAAGGAAAAATGTAGAGTCTGCAGTCAGACAACTAGAAAGGGAGAAGGCTCTTCTTCAGCATAAGAATACAGAATACCAGAGAAAAGCAGAACATGAAGCAGATAAGAAACGCAATTTGGAAAACGAGGGTATGTTGAACTTTGCTTGAAGGGCTCTGTTTTGATGTAGGTTTTTAAAAGAGAAAAACTTTTTCACTACAGTGATTAACTGAATTGTTTTTGTTTTAGTTAACAGTTTGAAAGATCAGCTTGAAGATTTAAAAAAGAGGAATCAGAACTCTCAAATATCCAATGAGAAAATCAATCAACTACAAAGACAGGCAGGCCAACTTTATATATGTATATTTTAAAGTAATCGCTTTCTGAAGTTCAGATTTTGTTGGTAATGATGGGAGTTTGAACGTGTAATGGAATTCTATGAGCTTTCTTTCTTGTCATGTATTCATATTCAAAAGTCATCTTGAAATACCCCCTTATTTCTTTAATCTGTTAAATCTAATATTTTATAAAGGCGGTGGTAGATGTTACATTTTAATTGTTTAGTCTAAAGTATCTTTTTATCAATCCTAGCTGGATGAGGCCAATTCTTTGCTGCGATCAGAGTCTGAAACTGCAGCCAGGCTAAGGAAGAACCAGACTGAAAGTACAAAGCAAATCCAGCAGTTGGAAGCTAATAATCGAGAACTACAGGATAAGAACTGCCTGCTAGAGAATGCTAAACTCAAACTGGAGAAGGACTTTCTCAATCTTCAGTCTGCTCTAGAATCAGAAAGGAGAGATCGAAGTCATGGATCAGAGATTATCAGTGATTTACAAGGTATTGCAACAAGTGTTCTGAAGTTAAGCTTATTTCTGGTTTCAGAAATAAAAACACATTCTGGTAATGTTATTTGAGTTTCAGACAGAAACTAAATTAGAGAGGTGTTTTATACAATGCTATTTAAGTTAGAACATGCATTACAGAGAAAACAAGTGGGGAGATACTTAAGATGAAAGTGTGTTACTGATTTCTAAAACCACTGTGAAGATCTTAACAATTAGAACCAGAGCTTTTTATCAGTAAGTAAATACAGTACATGTTTTTTCACAGACTACCCAGCCTCATTAATGTTTCGTTCATTTTTTAGGTCGAATATCGAGCCTGGAAGAAGAAGTGAAAAATGGAAAGAGTGCATTAGCCAAACTAGAAATGGAGAAAAGGCAATTGCAGGAAAAACTTACAGATTTAGAAAAGGTAACAGCAGTTCCTAGTGAACATTTGTGGTACATCCCTATGAGATTCTTACGGTTGGGATTTTTCTTAATTGAGACATAAGCCTTGTTTTCAGCATCAGTTCTTTTTCTGTGGATTTTTCTCATTGTTTTGGAAGTTTGAAAAGTGGGGAAAGAAGACCTCATTTCCCTTATGATTTCAATTCACTATATTTGTAAAGTTTACAGTAATGTCCACCAATGTACAGCTTAATCATGAAGCTGTAGCACTTCATTTTTGCTATGAAATCTGACCTTTTTAAATTCTCAGTATTGCCAGAAATTATTAGGAAAAAAAAAAGGCTTTGCTAATATTTTTTAGAATAAATTCTATAATATTTTGCAACTGGGAGTTTCACTGCATACTTCTAGAGCATTTTATCAGTGCTTTTCCATGGGTAGTAGAAGTGAATTCCAATGACCTTAGGATCTGTGCTGTGTCTTCTTCATACTTCCAAGCAGTATGTTACTGTTGTCTGAAATTTCATATCTAACCTGATGTATTTAATATTTCATTTTAATGCCCTTTTCTTGGTTAACAGGAAAAGAGCAACATGGAAATAGATATGACATACAAATTCAAAGTTATGCAGCAGAACCTTGAGCAAGAGGAAGCTGAACATAAAGCCACAAAAGCACGACTGGCAGACAAAAATAAGATTTATGAATCTATAGAGGAGGCAAAATCTGAAGCCATGAAAGGTCTGTATTTGACATCACAGTTAGACTTAAGCATAAATTATTGAGGGTAGATAATAGAATTTTTTAATGATAGTAGAAGTTTAAACGTAGTTATGTTTTCTCCATTCCCCTGTTCTTTTTTAAAAATAATTAGCTTTGTAAATCAGTTGTAATCCTCCTGTTTAGTGTTTATGATCTGTTAGGTTAAAGGCAGGCAGTTTTAGTCTCTTTGAGTACAACAGAATTTCTGTTGCCAACATCACTAATCCATTCTCTGTGTTATGGTATTCTGAGCTAGGGTATTATTAAATTTATATTATTAAAACTGTTGGAAAGATTTTCAGAAGATTATGTGTGTCCTTTGTCAGTGTTGTTAAATCTTTCTAAATAAAATATATGTCAACAGCTTAAAAATTTAAATAGATTACTAGATATAGTGACATATAGTCATAGTCTGACATAGTGACATATATAGATATAGACATAGTGAAGCCTTTGCTAGGCTTCCGTAGTCACCGTGCATATTCTGGTGTATCTCCTAACAATTAAAATGTCCTAGAGAGAGGGATAATTAGTAGATGATTCCAGAAGATGGTTCTTATTTTTGAATTAAATTGCTTATGTTTGCTCCAAGTGCTTAAAAAATAACCTACGGATCTTATCCTTCCAAATGTAGAACATTAACAAAAATGTTGAGCTTGCAGATGTTCCAAAAAAGCAGAAAGATTCAGATGTACCATATGAGTCACTTGGTCCATCAGTTTTCTCAACAGCTTCAACTCTCTAATTGATTTCAGATTATCACAGTCAGAGCAATACTTGATCTATAGGTAGAAAATATTTTTTTAAGAGGAAAGCCACTCTTTTATCCCTCTCAAATGTATTGAAAATGAACTGGAATTTATATTGAAACTCAAGAGTAAGTGATAGTTCTCAGGTAGAAATGTGTGCGAAGAATCCTCTGGAATGCTTTTTCACAGTTTACCGTGAAAAATTTAATGAACCACTTTTCAGCAGTCTCTGTCATAACTGACAACCATTAGTTAGTATGGGTAGATGTTCTTCCTCACCTCCCTCACTCCTTTAAACTCCCTGTTTTGCAGTGATTCATTTGCAGGCTGACCTTAAATCTCTTTCTTCACAGAAATGGAGAAGAAACTTTTGGAAGAGAGAGCTTTGAAGCAAAAAGTGGAAAATCGGTTGTTAGAAGCTGAAAAGCAGCGCTCCATGTTGGATTGTGATCTCAAACAATCACAGCAGAAAATAAATGAACTCCTTAGGCAAAAGGATAAACTAAATGAAGATGTATGTAACGGGGACAAAAGAAGTCTTAAGTGGAAGCTAGCTTTAAATGTCTTTGTATTTTCCTTTTGTTACAGCCATATTTAGGGTGTTTGTGAACATAAATGGCAGTAATTCTTACTTCTTTGCATTTGGAGCTTTAAAAAGTCAACTTTACAGAGTGGTTTCATTTTCCAGCATTATTGATATCAAAGTTTTTATTCTGGAATGTAAAATGCTAAGAAATTGACACGTGGAAAGACTAGGTTTTTATTGTGAACTAATAACTTTATTCAGGAAATGGATTTATCTATTAAAAAATGTGTGCATGTTATACAATAATGTATGAAGATTGCTCCAAAAGTAATGCCTCCTATTTTATTGTGTTTGACCCATAATGTCATAGGTGGATGTTGGTGGTATAGCAGTAGAGGTTGAACATTTCTGCCATGTGACAGGTGGCAGAATAGGTGCAGTCTGACAAAATGCCATTTGTCATGGGAGTGCTTATGAAGCAAAGGCTCATGGAATTCCGCCATGCAGAAAAAAATGCACCCATTGACATTCACTGACACTTGCTGAATGTTTCTGGAGATCAAACAGTGGATGTGAGCTCATAAGGTGATGGTTGGTGTCTTTCAGCAGTTGCAACAGTGATGTTGAAGCTAAGCTACATTCAAGATGGCCATGCACTGCTGTTATACCACAGAATGAATCTTGATCTGAGGATTACAATTAGGGAATTGTGTCTGGAACTGGATATTGGCTTCACTGCATTTGAAACATTAGCAGCAGCATTGTAATATTGCATAGTTTACACTGGGTGAGTCCCACGAACGCTCACACAGGAGCAGAAGGAACACTGTGTGCAACTTTGTCAAGACCTATTTAACCAATACAAGGCCAAAGGTGAGAGCTTCCTGGATCACATCATTACCAGTGATGAGATGTGGTGTCACGCTACAAGTAAGAGGCAAAACAGCAGTCCATGGTGAGGCAACATGTGAATTCCTCATAGAAAAAAAAGTTCAAGATGCAGCCCTCAGTGGGTAAACTGATGTGCCCTGTCTTTTGGGTTAGGAAAGCAGTGATACTTCTGGACTTCCTGGAACACAGACAAACCATCACCTCTGGCCTTAACATTGCAACACTGACTAAGCTGACAGCTCGAACTTACAGAGTCAGGTCAGAGAAGACAATCTTTCTCCTGCAACAAGATAACTCCAGGCTCCATACCAGTCTGAAGACTATGGAACACATTGCCAGTCTTAGCTGGACCGTCCTACCACACACACACTGTATATAGTCCAGATTTGACATGTTCTGACTTACATCTGTTTGGGCCGATGAAAGATGGACAGCATGGGTAGCATTTTCCTAGCAACAATGCTGTCGTAGCAGCAGTGAAACAGTCACCTCCACTAGTGCAGATTTTTGTGAATGTAGTATGCAGGCTCTTGTTCATCACTTGCAAAAATTCACAGCTAGTGGTGGTGGTGGTGATGTTGAAAAGTAGTAGCTGAGAATTTCCTCTGTTGTACAGTGTGATTTTCCTCTCACTTTCTGTACTTTCCATGGAAATAAATAGGAGGCATTAGATTTGGAGCAAATTATATAGGAAGTGTCAATAAGAATTACTGTTTGCATGTTACTTCCCTGTGTAGATTATTAACCCTCAGGTTTCTGCTTATTTTGTAGGTTAAAAACTTGACTTTAAAAATAGAGCAAGAAACACAAAAGCGTTGTCTCACTCAAAATGACCTCAAGATGCAAACACAACAGGTCAACACCTTAAAAATGTCAGAGAAGCAGCTAAAACAGGAGAATAACCATCTTCAGGAAATCAAATTAAGTCTGGAGAAACAAAATAATGAACTCCGCAAGTGAGCAGAGTTGCTCTATTTTACTTTTTTTGAAATATTGTTGATTTGTAGTTTTCGTAAAAGCCATTGATCTTCAAGATTTGTGCTGAGAATCTAAAATAAGAGACGAAAGTGTAAAAGAAAATGGGGGGTGGGGAGAACAGAATAATTGGAGGAGTTAAGACAGGAATTGTGTTGTCCTAGCAATTCTTCAGGTTCTTACAGTGAATAATTTGACTATTTAAATAATAACTATTTAAAAAATTACACCAACAACATTCCTGTGACAGAAAAAAAAAACAAACAAAACAAATTGAGTGTGTAGATCATGTGTAACTTAGGCTTTGGTCTTAGGCTTATGTTTTGATTCATCTTTTCTTCAAGCAAGATGCAGTTAATCACACAGAAAGCTGAATGTGGCAACTGCCATAACAAAATAATGGTGGAAATCTTTTCTGCTACCTTGCTGATCTTTTTTTTATGTGACTGAGTGACTTTCTGAGTTATTTTAATAGGTGAATTCAAGAATTCCTGACAAAGAAGTTCTCAGAGACTGTTCTCTAGCAAAACCCAAAACAATCTGTCAGATCAGTGGTGTTTTACATGGAAATAACATTCTATCAGTGGCTGTTTGCTTTATCAGTGACACTGTTGTAGCTAGTATGCTAACTGTATTAAACTGACAAAGACTCAGGTTGAACTGCAGAATATAAAGAATGTGAATGCAGCCATTTCTTGCATCCAAACATTTTCTTGTTTGGAATCTTCATATCTTTTCTTTAATGTATTTTATTACTTTCTAGGGAACGTCAAGATGCAGATGGACAAATGAAAGAGCTTCAAGACCAACTTGAAGCTGAGCAGTATTTCTCAGTATGTATTACGCTTCATTACTTTTATACCAGTCTGTTCATTAGATATAACGTTACCTTTTCTCTTTCTCTCAGCCATGAAGCACTTCATCCTTCTAATTCAAAGTTAATTCTTTTTCCTGGGTCTGCCTTCATTCTTGACTGCAGCCCTGTTACCACTCCTTGCTCTTGATCTCTAAGCGGAACGAAAGAGTTCATATTAAGAAATGGACCAGCTTTGGAAGGGCATCCCAAGCACAGGTTAAGGGAAGGAAGAAGTTGAGCAGCTCATTCCATAATGCAAATAATTTTCTGGACGTTTCAAGACTTTTGCATTCAGCATCTGGTCCAGGCAGCATTGAAGCTGTATTGAAACAATCATATGGCATTACCAAACACATGCATTTAAGGCTTAGAAGAAAGTTATTGCATAATAACCAAACTTTGCAAAGATCCATTGAGAGATTTTGCTTCAGTGTAATAGGCACAATAACTAGGGATTGTTAGAAATAATCACTAACATATAAAGGTTAACTTAAAGTAATAGTGCACAGCCAATCATACTAAAAGAAAAGGCCAAGGGTCTTGCTTGAGAATTGAAGGAAACTCACGCTTTTACTGTGGTCTTTATATCAGTAAAGAGGATGAGTAGCTGGTCAAAAACTGCACATGTCAAAGGAGAGGAAAAAAAGGAAGGTTCAAGTCAGCTGACTGCTCTGGATGGACCAGAGAGAGAATCCTGAGAGACTTCGTCACGAAAGCCTTGCACTAAATCCACTGGCAGTTATCTGTCAATCAGCCATTCTTAGCATACAGAGCAGTGTAATTTTTCTTTAATTTCCTGTATAGCTCGAGGTTTGTATTCCCTGACCTATTTTTCTCTTCCTCTTTTGTCTTTTTCCTCTTGGGCTCTCATGTTGTTACAGTGCAATTGTATGGTTAAAATCCAAGCTCTACCTAATCTATTTCTGTTTCTATTTTAAAATAGTAGAGAAAAGAAAATTCAGTTTGCCAGTTTTATACAGTATGCTTACAAATGTATAAATTAGATTTCATTCATCTACCTGATCCAAATACACAGGAATATTTTTTTTGGGGGGGGGAGAGTGAGTTTATTTTGTTGTTGTTTGAAAAAACAAGGGAACACCAAGAAAATAGCAACAACAAAAAAATAAAGCAAATAATATTTGGGAATCATTATGACCTTCAATGACCTTCACTTAAATGTAGAGGAAGCTTTGGATAGTTATGCTTGAACTGAGCGTATGGTTAAAGAACAGCATACCATGTCCTCTTGTATCAATTTTTGTGTGCCTTCGAGCTCGGTTATGTAAGTCACATCCTTTTCTTTCCTACTTCAAATTCTAGACCCTGTATAAGACACAAGTTCGAGAACTTAAAGAAGAATGTGAGGAAAAGACCAAACTTTGTAAAGAGATGCAGCAAAAGATACAAGAGTTACAGGATGAGAGGTACTGCTTGTACTGTTAATATATAGATCAGGATAGCTTTCTCTTATTTTTGTTCAGGTGGGGTTTGGTGGTTTATTTTATTTTGCTTTGTTGTTCCTTTTGTTTTAAGTAACCTCCCATTTTTTGAGTTAATAGTATGTATCAATAATTTGCAGAGATTCCTTGGCAGCACAGCTAGAAATCACTTTGACAAAAGCAGATTCAGAACAACTTGCACGTTCCATTGCTGAAGAACAGTACTCTGATTTGGAAAAAGAGAAGATTATGAAAGAACTGGAGATTAAAGAAATGATGGCTCGGCATAAACAGGAGCTTACTGAGAAGGATGCCACCATAGCCTCTGTGAGTAATATACATCATTATTTTGGTAGAGGTGTACGTGAGCATGAGTTTCATTTGCAGTTTGAGTTATCCATTGTAGTTTAGCATACTTAAATATGTTACACATTTATTTTCTTTGAATTAACTAGTTAAATATAAATATATATATATATGTATCTTGTACCCTGTTTCTTCCCTGTATCTCTTCTGTGCCCCTGTGCTAGTCATCTTACACTTGTTCTGGTTTCTGTCTGAAGCATCTCCTTCTGTGCTGTAGTGTTTTCATATGTCATTGATTTTTAGATATATGGTCACATGTACCTTTTGTTTGTAGTTGGAGGAAGCAAATAGAACACTAACAAGCGACGTGGCTAATCTTGCTAATGAGAAAGAAGAACTAAACAATAAACTGAAGGAGGAACAAGAACGTATGTATTCTCAGAACCAAATACAATTCGTTATGCCTATAGTTTGGTTCTAAAAATTCTATTTTATTTTGTAATGTGCTTTCATTTATATCTTTGTGTTTGTTTGTTTAAATTACCGTGTTACAGAAATTGCGAAGTTAAAAGAAGAAGAAGCAAATATAGGAAATATTAAAGCACAGTTTGAAAAACAACTGTTGAATGAAAGAACACTGAAAACCCAGGTAAGCAAATATATCCAAAGAAATAAGTGACGATGATTTAATAATCAAGTGTTCATATTTTTACTAAAAAACGTAGCACTTCATTCTTTTCCTGATGAAGTAAAATATGTCAAATTTATCTTTTTTTGCCTCTGCTAAGTAGTGAAATTGCATCCTCTTCTATTATTGCAGAGAAAGTCCTAATCTTCATGCAGTCCAAAAACATAAGTCTTGATTTCAGTCAAATGAATTTTTCACTTGATTTAGGTTCCTCTGTAATTACCATAAAATGTTAATTCTGATTTTCATATCAGATGTTTTTAACAGTAAGTGGCATTTTCATCCACTAGCTAATTGAAACTGAAGAGCATTTAAATGAGTAGAAGTCTTCTAAAGAAACATTTGTTTAAAGTGAAAATGGCAGCATTACCTTTATTCACTTTTGATTAATGCAAGTAACTTTCTACTACCAGATATGCAGAGATCTTAGTTCACAGATTAAAAATGCTTGATCACAGGTAGTGGAGAAGACTATTTCTCTGCAGCATAGCTCTGTATTTATTTGTTTGTTTTTTGCTTCTGTTTCCCTCATGGGAAGGCTGTGAATAAATTGGCTGAGATCATGAATCGGAAGGGTCCAGTCAAACGTGGAGCTGACACCGACGTACGGCGGAAGGAGAAGGAAAATAGGAAACTGCATATGGAACTGAAATCTGAACGAGAGAAGTTAACACAAATGATGATCAAGTATCAGAAAGAAATCAATGAAATGCAGGCAGTAAGATCCTCTTAACAAGTGTAAACATTGATACCATTTTCTGTAATGCTTAGTGAAATCGTTCGGTCTTGTAAGGTAGTGCATACAGTCTCTATTCCTGAATTTCCTCGATCGAAAGAAAGATGCAGCACATGTATTGAGACTGACTGCAAAACCTCCATAATTTTAAGTTCAAATTTTCTTTGAGAAGCAGAGTATCGTGACAATAGGAAACCTTTATTTTTATCCTTACAGCAAATAGCAGAAGAGAGTCAGATACGAATTGAGCTCCAGATGACTCTGGACAGCAAAGACAGTGACATTGAACAGCTTCGCTCACAACTACAGTCATTACACATTGGTCTAGACAACAGTAGCATAGGCAGCGGGCCTGGAGATGCTGAGGCAGACGATGGATTCCCTGGTATGTTATTCATATTAATATTCCTATTCGAATTGGGTTTTTTATCTGTTTTACCATGGAAACTGAAGTATTTGATATTTCTGGGCTTTTTATCTTAATGTGTTTCTATCACTGACCAATGCTTTGATAGAGTTCACTATCCATGCACTAACTACTTCTATCAGTCATCATACTTCATTCTTGAATTTATTTAAAGATGTTTCTTTAAAAAACAGTATTGTCTGACATTGAAACTAATCCTTTTTTCATCTTATTATTCTGGTCTATTTGCAATTATTATGTGATTAAATGTAAAACTAATACTCTTTTTAGAGACACTGTTTTGACTTCTTTTCTACCTTTTTCCTCCTTTATTCTTTATGTTTAGTCCATATCACTCAGTCCCACACTATGGAATCCATGTCTTTTACCTACAAGCACTCTTCCACCTCTGTCAGTATTGCCACTAAGCCTTCCAGTTCTCGCATGCTTCTCGATTCTGATTCTGACTCAGAAGAAGAACCTTTGTCTTGTTCTCACAGCCCTACAGAAGTTGATAGCCCAGGTGACATCCCTGAGACATGCTCGGTGTTGTCTTTATTGCTCCTTTTTTTCTATTTCAAAACTAACATTTACTAATACATGACTTTAAAAAAATGGCAGTAAGCAAAGTAATTACATGAAAAATTTACATGAAGTAATTGGCTTGTTTTATCTAAATGTTTATAGATGCTCATTGCCATTTATAAAACACTATTTTTATTAAAGCATTGAATAAATTCTTATTGTCTTGATCTTGAGGAAGACTATGCCCACTATCTTCAACTATCTGCATGACCCTAGGATACCAGAAAGTCAAATCTTTGTGTTTCACTGAAGTGTTGAGATATATCAGCCCTCACACTCTAAATGTACATTGCTTGGTCATAGAAATTCAGTCTTCTGAATGTTGACTTTTTTTTTTTCCTTGCATTGAATCTTATATTCAATTTTTTTTTTTGTAAGGAAAATAAAATTTATTTAAATTTGTTTTTCCTGATGCATAAAGAATATAATGAAATTATACAGCTCTGGTAAAACAGAACTTTGTTTCATTAGTTCTGTACCCTTTCCGTATGACTGCACTCTCTTGAGTAACATTTCTGCCTAGTGTTAATGTCAGAGATGGGATTTTCTAATTACACTCATATTTCTGTATTTTACATGGGGCACTTCTAAGTTGTGAATGTCTTTCAATCAAAGGCAAAACTTGTTTTGGAGTACTGACATTATTTCCTCAAACTGGAGTAAAGCATAATGCCTGTCTTCTGCTTATTTCATTCTCTGCTAAAAGAATCACTAAGTACTTATATAATATTTCCTTGTTAGCTGTTGCTGTGGTATGTGCATGGTTTTATTTTGTTCTAAAGTACAATCATGTCTAAACTAGGGCTATTTTCTAACAGCAGATTCTAACTGGAGATAGGATGTTGAGGAGTTTTATTTCTTCCTGATGCTTACAAACATACTGGGAAAATGTTGGAATATTCTTCAAGTCTCTGTAGGCATAACAGAAATTCTACGAATACCTTAATCGTTGTTTGTTAACCTGCATTGAATGTGGGCACAAGTCTGCCAGTGCCCTCTCTTGAGAAAGAAAATAGCTTTTGCAGTTGCAGGGCATGTCCTTTAACGGTTTAATGGTTGTCAATGTTAATGGCTTCAGAATTTTTAACTCAGAGAGGGAAAGGGAAAATTCCTTCCCACACTGGGTGGAAACTGCTATATATAGGGGTACTGTGAAAAATAGTGTCTAAGACTACAAGATAACTACGTGTCACTGAGCGCGTGGGCAGTTTGATCCTGGCAGGCTTTGGGTTACTACTGAAATGTGTACATCAAACAACAGTTGAGGAGTTAATGCTGTAGATAGATGTCATAGAATCATATCGTATCATAGAATATAGAATCACAGGATGGCCTGGGTTGAAAAGGACCACAGTGATCATCTAGTTTCAACTAGATGCTATGTGCAGGGTCACCAGGCACCAGACAAGGCTGCCCAGAGCCACATCCAGCCTGGCCTTGAATGCCTCCAGGGATGGGGCATCTGACTGTTGCAATGGTGTAGCATTAAATATCACAAGAAAGAGCAGTTGAATTTAGGCAAGGACTAGGGCTTAGCCAAAAATTACTTACTCTGGAATAGAAATTCTAGGAGATTTAGGCACAATTAGAAATATGGAGAAATTCATAGTGCAAAAAAAAAGATATGAATTAGAATATAAAACTTCTGAAATTTTACCCCGAGTAGAGAGGTTTATTTATAGGCTTATTGGTGGTGGTACTTTGCTCTGTTTTGTCTTTTATATATAATTGGATGTTGTGCGGTCTACTAATATCTTTAGAAACATTCTTCTAAGTCTTAAAGGTTGAAAGACTTTTAAAAAAGTCTTTAGAAATAACAGTAATAATGATAAAGGGAATGTGTGTGGTATCACTGCAAGTTTGCTCTTCCCCTTCTTCCTCTTACCTACTATTTTATTGTAATCACAGTGTTTGTTATTGCTGTATGGGGGAATACACTAATTGATTTCTGAAAATTTACTGTGATAAACTCTGCAAGATGTTATATGTTCTCAGCTTTGCTCTGTGACTTTTTTATTGATCTTCAGTGCGTATTTTTAAATGCACAGTAGGCTCAAAAAGAATGTTTTGTGAATACTTATGTTCTTCACTGTATGTTTTGTTTTGTTTTGTTTTGTTCTTCCAGAATCAAGATTGGAAGGCTGGTTATCACTACCTGTTCGAAATAACACTAAAAAATTTGGTTGGGTTAAAAAGGTAAACAATAATAATACAACAATTTTCTTTTTGCAATCTCTTATTGTTTCATGTGTAGTTTGGATTTTATTTTCGCTGCAGATTTTCAGCGCTTTCTTCAATACATGTTCTTGTAATTACTATATATAAATATATATATATATAGTATAAAAGTATAAAAAGTATAGTAGCTTATATATAGCTATGTCTGAGGGTTACAGAAGTTGGACCAGATGAACTTCAGAAGTCCTTTCCAACCTAAGCCATTCTCTGAACATATAATTCTGTTAAGGCTTTTTTTTTTGTCCTACCAGAGCTGAAAACAGCTGCTTACAGACTTCAGACATTTGTATGTTCTCAACAGCATCATGTAGCTAGAACTCATTATAGACTGGAAACATGCTTTTCACAAATTCCTTGTTTAAGAGAGAAAACTAACGGCCGTGCATCTGCTCTGTGCAACCCTCACTTGCTGATTGCTTTTCAGGAGCCTCTTTGGTGGTCTTTGCCCAAAGAGAAACCGATGCCGTTTATATCAGTTTGCTCAGTCAAACTGTTCATTCTGGATAAAGTTCTAGAAATTTGAGTTCTTAGGGGTACCTGATTTTCTGAACTTTGTGAGTGTGATGCCTATTAGTTGTGAGCTGCACATGTAAAATAGGCATCCTAAGACGATAATTGCTGCTGCTCTGAGAGAAAATTAAATCTGTAAATTAGAAACTAAAAATTTTTGAGTTAATCTCTCTCTTACTTTCATTTTGATCTCCTCACAGATGCTTACATTTGTTTAAGTACCAACTAATATGACAATGTAAACTAATGCATCAGGTAGTAAAATTTCATAGTGCAGTTAATTTACTGACAAAGTATGGAGTCAAGATACAGTACTACTATTATGCTTTTAGCTACCATTCAATAAAACTGTAGAAAAATATTTCTGTCACATCTTTGATGTGATCAGTTGGATTATAATGTATGTTTTATTCTTTTCTGCCTCCTAACAGTATGTAATTGTAAGCAGTAAGAAGATCCTGTTCTACGACAGCGAACAAGATAAAGAGCAATCCAATCCCTATATGGTATTAGACATAGAGTGAGTATTAGCACACAAGATTGCTTCCTCTGAATTGCAGGCAGACTTTGTCAGAAAGGCCTTTTAGAAAGATGTGGTCTGGTATCACAGTGCCAGTTGGAGTGTACTTTTGCAGTTAGCTCTGTTTAGATGTTTGTTAGCCAACACAGAGCGCTCAACTGGCATAAGGGAAGTGTTTTCACTAGCTCAGCTAGACATATCTCACACACACTGTAGCAAGAAATGTTAAGAAATCTGTAGCTGAGAGGCTATAGTTTTCAGTGTTTGTACATTTTCACTACAATGCATGCTTATAGGTGGGTTATATAATTAATTTATTTCCTTAACAAATACAGATTTTGGCTATTTGAAGGCTGGAGTCTGAACAGAGGATTGTGTTAGAAAGATCCCAGCAATCACTGAAGTCAGCTTTTCATTGCTATCATTTTTTTCATAAATACAGCTGTATATTTGTGACTTGTGTTTATTTAGGGCTTGGAAATCCGTGTGCAGGACTGAAAGACAGGATTATTGCTTGTATATTGATAACATTAATTTTTGTCTTTATTGAAACAATTTCTTACAGCAAACTATTCCATGTCCGACCAGTCACCCAGACTGATGTGTACAGAGCAGATGCCAAGGAAATTCCAAGGATATTCCAGGTATTCAATAATAAATTAATGTTTATAGTGTAACATACATCACATACCATGTTTTGAAACATATTCCCCTAACTTTGTCGAAGTGAAGCTTTTACTTCAAAGTTGTTGAAAATATTCATTCCAGTGTTATTCTTTGGTTTTTCTAATTCAAGAATTATTCTGAATATGTTTTTGTCATAAAGGAGTTCTGAGATTATTATGCTTTAATTCTAGATTCTATATGCTAACGAAGGAGAGAGCAAAAAGGAGCAGGAATTTCCTGTGGAGCCTATGGGAGAGAAGTCAAATTATATTTGTCACAAAGGACATGAGTTTATACCTACTCTTTATCACTTTCCAACCAATTGTGAAGCTTGTATGAAGCCTCTTTGGCATATGTTTAAACCTCCTCCTGCTCTGGAATGTCGCCGTTGCCATATCAAATGTCACAAAGATCATATGGATAAAAAAGAAGAGATTATAGCACCTTGCAAAGGTAATTAGCAGATATTTGAGTGTGTGTATAGTTGCTGGAGTCACAAGGCATGCTAATGAATCACAGGGTCCTATCTGTGACACCAACTAAACTTCAAGAGGTAGGTTTTTCTTCAGTGGGTATGTAAAATTTTCTGAAGGTGTCTACAAGAGGATCAGCTCACTGTTATGAGTGAATGCCATATGGGTGGATGGCTTCATACCTGCTGTGTTGTCAGCATCACACAGGTAGAGCATAGTTGTAGGACTGCTCACACTGTTGTGCAGCATTGCTGAGTGAAGCAATAGTGAGTTTTAGGAAATGGATTATATTTAGTGAAATTTTTTATGTAGGGGACATGTTAAGAAAAATAACAATTATTATTAATTTTTATTTGAAAAATTCTTACTACAGTGTATTATGATATTTCAACGGCGAAGAATCTACTACTGTTAGCTAATTCTACAGAAGAACAGCAAAAATGGGTGAGCCGACTGGTGAAAAAAATACCCAAGAAACCTCCAGCACCAGACCCCTTTGCTAGATCTTCTCCCAGAACTTCTATGAAGGTACAGCCAAACCAGTCCATCAGACGACCAAGTCGACAGCTTCCTCCAAACAAACCAAGGTAACACAAGAGCTGCTATGTATTTTATTGTTCAAAACATTTTACTGCAATTAATGTGATATATGTTGATATCAGTAGTTGACAACAATGTTGGCAACCACTGATATGTAATCTAGTATGTCATCTTCTGTAAACCTCATGTAAGTAATAAGAACCATCATTATGCTTGTTTACTGGTTCAAAGGACATTGCACTATCTGTTATTTAACCTACCATTACTGATAACATATGTTACTACTGTTTCTGTGAACTAGAAGCTGGTAGGGAATATGAAGCTTAGATATGTCAAGAGTCATTAAGAGGGTTGTGAGGTTTTTAAGGAAACAAAACTGTACCTGATTAAAAGTTAAGCTATGACATTAAGTACTTGTCATTCTAATGAACCTTGGAGAGAACTGGGTGCCTTCAAAAGGCAATCTAGAAGAGCTTACGCATAGCAAAAGAATGCATGTCTTTTCTTTCTTGCTGGGTGGTTTGGAGGAATGTGTTTGAATTCCTGCTCCACTCTAATGTTAGAAACATCACTGAGGATTTTTGTGTTAGAGTGTGATTCATCTGACCAAATGTATCTATGTCTAACTCTGCTTACAGAGTCATATATAGGAAGAGTTGTTATTAAGATTGAATTTGTGTTATCCCAATAAAAAGGAGAAAGTAGAAAGGGAGCATAGAGTGCTCTTCAACACATACAGCACAAGGTTATTCAGATGAATCTCTCTTTTGCATCTATGCCCATGCAGGTTTCGCAGTGTGGTACCATATTCTGCACTGGTAGACATCCATCTGAGTGTCAATCATTCTTTTTGAAAGAGAGCAAGTAGACATGAAGTGATGGTCACCATTTGGTCAAATAGCTAAAACACTTGCCAAAGGGTGGGAGAGTTGGTTTCAGCTCTTTACCCAGCCCAGAAATACTCATGCTCCTGTCTCATGTTTCCTGAAAGAGCAGTCTTACTGTCACGTTGCTCTCATGTGGGAAATAAATGTCTATAAAAAACAGACTTCTATTATTGGATTAGTTTTAAGGAGCAAAATCCTATGCTGTAGCCATAGAAGTGATAACATTTAGCAGGTAGCATTTAAGTGATTGCACAGTATTCTGGATTTTTCAGTGTGCTGTTTTCATCGCCTAGAATACTGCTGGGTTTATTAAAGAGGAAAGAACAGTTAAGGTTATGAAGTTAATACTTGGTTGTATTAATCTCCAGTTTTTGACATCCTGTGTAAATTTCTATCTATCCACCTTTCTTTTCTTTGTTGCCATATAACAGCAGCAATGGCCAGTTCAGCAAAGGCTTATTTTTTATTGTTGTTATTGTTTTTCACCTTTGCACCTTTGTGAGATAACTTGGGAGTGATAGTTTTGGTCTTGTTTCTGTGATCAGACTATCACCGGTATCTCAACTGGCTGCTTGAAAACAGGGTTGGGTGAATCAACAGAATTACAATAGGGAATGCAGTGTAATCATGCTCCACTGTATTGTGATGCTACTGAAATCACAAAACAGCTCTATGTAGGAAGATTTGGATATTAAAAAAAAAGTGCAGTGAAATTTAATGTGTGGTAATGCATAGTGAAAGGACTCAAAGCAATATAACTTTCCTCCTAATTTCCATGTTATCAAATCTTTGATTGTTTACTTCACATACTTTAAAAGAAAGTCTGACCTTATAATTTGAATTTTAAATGATTACTTTTTTTTTAATTCTATCCATGAAAGTGAAGAATTTAATTGTTCCATTTTAGGGAATGATTACTGAAGGGATTCTTGGTGTAAAACTAGCCAAAATAGCAGTAATTGGATTGAAGCGCAAATCAATGAAACATTATTCATGGCAAACTGGAGGACAAGTAAAACTATGCTTCTGTATTTCCATATTCTGGTTGGTTAGCATTATTTTGTTTCTTATTATTGACATATAAAAGGTATTTAATAAATTCTGATTCTTTTTCCATAGCTATCTTTAATTGCTCAGAAAGAAAATTTTCTTGTTACACCATTCTTATTTCAATCTTCATGATGGTTTTTTTTTACTAAATGCCTTCATAACAGTACCTACTCTTCCCATTCTTTTTATTGTGATCCTCCTCCGTTCAGCTGATGATTCTTTTTTTCCTCATTTCCTTCTATCCATATATTCTCTGTCTGTATATTTCATATTTCATGATGGTGGGAGAAGGAGGAGGATGGATACATTGGTGTGTAAACGATTTTATGGATGTAGTTAAAATTTTCAAGTTGCCTTTTCAAATGTACCTGGCAGCTTAGAAGTTACAAGTGGAAAACTGTAATTCTATCAGGTCATTTAGCCTTAATGCAGGTTTGTCAAACTTGTGGAAATCTGTATGGATGTAAATACTTTCAATTAGAAACCACATACCTAAAAATCATTGTTGGTGCTATAACCAATTAGCATCTGACTGTTGCTTCCATGAGGTTTCCATTTTCCATTATGAAGATTACTGAGAATGAAAACCTAGTTGCCAGCTTAATGAGTAGCTGGGGACAAGCTGGAGGTGAGCAACAGATTGAGGGAAGGGATTTCACTCCTCTGTTCTCCACTAGTATGTGGTGAGATACTGCTGCAGATACTTCAAAGAGGACTTTTGCCAGCTGTGGAAAGTCCAGCAGAGACCACCAGGATGGTCAAGGCTGGAGTACTTGTAGTAAGCTGGGCTCGCTCAGCCTGGATGAGGGCTGGCTCTGGGAAGCCTACTAGGCCTGTGGAGAGATTCCAGCTGAAGACAAACAAAAGCTTTTTCCCAGTGAGGACAGTCAGGGAGAGAGAGAGGGCTATTGGGGCTGGGTGGGCTCCAGCCTTATGATAGAATGGCTTGGGTTGGAAGGGACCACACTGCCTGCCCACCCAACCCCTGCCATGGGTTGGCCCCCCACCAGCTCAGGCTGCCCAGGACCCACCAGACCTGGCCTTGAGTGCCTGTGGGCACCCACAGCTCTCTGGGCAGCTGTGCCAGGGCCCCACCGCCCTCTGAGCAAAGAATTTTCTCCTGACATCTAACCTAAATCTCCCGTTCCCCCTAGTCCTACCACAGTCAGACCATGTAAAAAGTCATTCTCCCTCCTGTTTATGACTCCCCTTGAAGTACTGGAAGTGAGGTGCTGGAGTTTTTCAAGACCTAACTGCAAAAAAACCCAGAGGTCCTGGGCTGACGTTTGGAAGTTTAATTTAAGTGTAATAACTTTAAAAGCTGGAAAGCCATTGAAAACTGAAATCTACTTTGTTTAAAGGATGCAATTAACTGAACTAAACACTGTAGCATGTTATATTTAAAACATCCTAAAGCTTTTCTTTAGCGTATGGTTTCTATCTCTGCCTCATATAGGTGGCATGTAATCCTGACTTCAATCCTGAGTTCACTGGAAAAATGACCAGATTGAGTTTCATTTCCTATACATTAAGGAGTTAGTACTTCAGATGTTCATCTGAAATCCTTCTATAGTAGCAGAAAGATGAATGCCTCTAGACAATGATTCATCCCATCCCAGCATAAGAGCCTAAAATAGGTGAAATGACTCATTTGCTGAAATAATATGCTCTCCATTCTGTAGGAGCATGGGCAGTGATGCATAGAGAACAAGTTGATACATCCTCTTTTTTGGCATAGCCTAAGTTAAAAATAATGAGGCTACAGTACATCTGTCTAGGATGATCTCACTGTATTTAGGATAAATGGCAAAATCCCACTGTATTTGTGAGCTCAGGTGACGCTTTTGTTCAGTGTTCTATTCAACAACCAGATTACTCAGTTTTATTAAAAAGACATAGATCTGAAAGGGATGGTAGGTGAGCATGAAGCTGCGTGTTGGTCAACAGAACTGCAGCAAAACAGGAAGCTAATTTTATGAAATGTGTGCGTTGGTCTTTTCTACTGAAATTTTGGGGGAGAACAAGCAATACGGTAAGTGTTCTGTAGAATTTAATTACTTGTGATGAATCTCCTTTGAATACAATATTTGTGGCTCCCCGAACAGCAATTGAATGTTCATACTCCATAGCAGGCAGAGGAAGGAGCCCATCTATGTTAAGACAGTTATTTTAAAAGTTATAGTGATAATAAATGGAATTTTGAAGCTTCTTGTAGGAGTGTGACACACATTAAACATCAAACCCTCCTGTTGCAGATTACTTGATCTGGCATTTAAAGACTGGGATTGGTCATTTGATGATGTTGATGATATTGATGATGATGATGATGATGACGATGTTTTTGATTTCTGAAGAAGTATAAGGGGTAAATCTAAATAGTGAGGAATGGATTTGTTTGCCTTTGAATACAGCATGCTATGTTGGATTTTGATTCTCAAAGCAGAGAAAAGTACAAGATCTCATTTTGAGAATTTACACAGTAAAAATGAGATTCTGTTTCGTGGTGTCAAATTCTTTTAGAGGAGCCATTAAAATGGTCTTTTTGCCTTTTCGGTGTTCTTATTTTTCTAATTTTAGATCTTTGTTCAAAATTCATGTCTGCCTGCCCCAAAAGAAAGCATCTCTTGTTGTCAGAGTAGTAATTCATCTGTAGTGCTAATGCTGCTAACCTCTGCAAACAATTACTGAAGGCTAAAAAGGGAGGTTGTAACAGTTGGAATTTACCTAAAATACAATTGCTATTTACAAATAATACTTTTCTTAAGCTTTTAACCTGAATTGATGTGTCCGTGGCTAGCAGACATGAAATCACAGTTCTGCATTTTGCTTTTTCTACCTGTGTTATGAAGTGAATTTGACTTGGCTTTCCTTTGCAGTGCTGTGCTTTTTGGGTACCTAACAATGTGTTATAAAACTATGTAAACAAACAGGCTTTGCAGCTTCTGTGGTGCGGTTTCTTTGACTGCTTTAGAACAGATGCAGCTGTGTTCTTGATCTAATTTGCCCCATGGCTTACCTTGAAAACACAGTGTGAATGTACTTGGACTTTACCCTCGTATGTTACAAGGGGGATTAATTGTTTTGGGCTCATAATGCGTAAGGTTGTACTAAAGTACTATGATGCTGTTGAATGCAGAGGAATGACTTTTTCCCAAGCTTACTGATAAGGTCATCTCAAAGAAGGATTCTGAGGAAGTATGTTCTTATCACACATTCATTCACTGCCTGTACTGACCAAACTTTCTGCTTCTTTTCCAGCTAACTGCTTTCCATGAACGCAGACGCAACTCAAGGTGATAATTTTCTTCCTGTTACAGCAAGACTGAAACATATCCCAAAATATATTAAAAATATATATTTTCCTGAGAGATTGTGCTATATATATCAGAGGTTTACATTTTTGCTGCAATATAAATTACTAATCTCTGAGGGTTTTCCTGTATTCCCCCGAGTGACTGATCAAACGAGGAATGGCTGGTAAATAGCAAAAGGATATGTTAGGTCACCTTTCAAATTGTGTTCCACAAAAGCTTTCTCGGCAAGACACATACACTACATTTCATAAAAGGATTGAGAGGAATGAGTATTTAAACTGAAGAAAGTGACTTCTCAGCTTTCATGAAGATGCCACCAGCATGCCTGCGAGAACAGGAGGACGATCCATCGTAGTGATATAGACTGCATCTGTAAGAAGTGACCATTATACTGTGTATATATATTGTACTGTAATACTGCAAGAGGGTTTTAAAAATCTTTCCACTTTATTTTTTTATGCTTATTAATCAGATACCGTTACTTATTGCAGTTGCAACTATGCACTTGTATAAAGCCATAATGTTGAAGTTTATATCATTCATACATGTCTATCAAAAGCTGCATGTCAGTGTTCAGCAGCTAGTTCAAAGTATATGCTAGTTTCAGCTGCGTCATCATGGGCAGTCCTGTTTTACCTGTCTAATTGCCTTAATTTAATTTTTTTTTCAAGTTTTTTTTGGCCCATTCTCTGTATTTAAGGAAAAAAAGGTTTACCAGCTCTTAGGATGCAATTTTGCTTTGTGGCAGAAAAAATAGTGCACTATTTTTACACCTAGTAGGTATATCAATGTCAACTTACTTTGAATGTATATCGACTGGTTTTGAGGGTGGAGAAGTGTTGGTTACAAAAACAATGTCTGATAAGAATGGACTTACTAGACCATGTGTTTATACATGTAACTGCTCATCCAGCCCTTCTTACAAACCTCAATATAGTTATTGACTTATATTAACCCTCATTAAGTGCTATGAAAACTTCATTTTGCCTTGTTTTTGCATACTCTCCTAGATGTGTGTTTATTTCTGGAAGAAAAAAAAAGAAAAAGAGAATCTGTGATTATTTTTTACATTTCACAACACAACACCCAAGAAGTGTCACAGACTTTAAAGAAAACTAATACATACTGTAGATGTATTTTAAAGTTTTAAATCTGGTTCTCTAGCACATAGCTGTAGGCATAGATAAATATTCCAGTAGTGTGTTTTGAGAACTGATAGCTGGGAATAAAGGGCCTCAGAGGCACTTAATTGGACTTTTTTTTTTTTTTTTTTTTTACTTGGGAGTTGTACAAAAAATAGAGTTTATGTGGACTCATTCATGATGCGTTCATCATTATCCCAGAAAATGCATGTTTTATACAACTGCAGTATGCTATGTTCAACATATTGACAGTAAAAAATGTAGTCTCCTATTTGGTCTCTTTATATATATAAATATATATATATATTTAAAATATATATATATATATAAACTATTGTGTGGGAGTGCAGTAATTTAAAATATGATCTAACACTTCAATGAAGGAGGACATTTCACTTTAAAATTTTGTTTGTTTGTTTTTGTTTTTTTAAAGAGTGTTGGAATGTTTGGAAGGATAGGACCATGATTTATTTAACACTATCATGAATGGTGGACTTGGAAACACTGAAATACTGAAAATGAATAAATATATTTGCATTTTGTAACTGCAGTTCAGCTTAACAGAGCCAGAATGTATTCAGTCTTCTATTTATGCACTCGCAAAGTAAAACATTGTTTGTGAGTTCTTAAATCCAGACCTAAATCTTTCGTATCATTTCTCTTTAGGTATTTTAACCCAACGCACAGCTACGGTGTTTTTTCCCTGCTTGTTTGGATTTACAGAAGTACGGTATATTTTTAGGTCAAGCAGATTTGCGTAGAGTACAACATTAAAAATGTATACAGTAAAACTGTTTCCATTCACTGAATGCATAAATATTTTATATATATAAAAAAATGTTACATTGTGGGAAGTTCTATCCTTTTCTGAATTGGAGAATATTATATATATATTTTTAAATAAACTATTTGAGTAAGGTAAAATAGTTCCTGAACTTGACAAGCTGGTAATTAATTGAAGTATTGAAACATATAGGCAACTACTGCAGCAGATATGGGGAAGGCAAAGCCAAGCAGAGGCTGTGTGGAGAAGAAGGGCACGCTCTGTGGAGTTGGTTTGCAGCCCATCATGTACCAGGTTGGATCTGTTGCACTTCCTCTGCATGTCTTGCCCTCATCTATTGTGAATCCCTACAGCCCTGTCATGCCTGGTATTTTAGGAACTGCATGTCATACAGTATTTACTAGCTGCAGTTTATACAGTCTGTACTTACAGAAATAGTTACTAGCTACACATACAGCAGGCTGTATTGAGAAGGTATTGTAGAATGATAGGGGCTGAAATGGAGCACAGTTTGCTGGTTGAACCTCTCCCAAAAAGCAAGTCCTCCTTAGAAGGGGGACCTCGAGACCTGCTCTCTTTGGGTTTCCAGTGCCTCTAGGGATGAAAGTACTGTAGCATTCCTCAGCTCTCCTACATGCAGTTGTGTCCCAAAAGAAACAAACATGTGGGTAATGTTGAGCTGTAACGTGGAGGTCATTTGGCCAACAGTATGATGTGAACAGCCTTTGTTTTGTACCCAGGACAGAAAAGCCAGAGCAGTTCTTCTGTCCCTCTTGCATGTCAGAGCTTTCATGTGCTGATCTGTGGATTGAAAGGACCCCATTAATATTAGTTCCTGGGGGTTGCAGTGTCTCCCTATTGTCTGGTATTTAAAACTGAGAGAAGAACATCAGAGACTGGATGTTTCATATGCTTTATTTTTGTAACAGGGCTGTTGCAGCAAACAGAACGTTTTTATGGCCTGGCTGATTTTATCTAAAAAAATTATCTTATTGCAAGTCCTGTTGTTTCACAAGAGTATACAGACACAGCCAAGTATACAGCCAAGCTGCAGATTAACCTTCTGCAAAAATCAGGGCTCAAACTGGGAGCCAGAAGCTCAAGACATGTACAGACAAGTTGCTGTTGGTTTCTATCCAGGAGCTCATCAGCACAGAAGCTGGACGAGAAGCCCCCATCTGAGCAGCATGTCAGCTGACACAACTGCCTTCCTGAAAGTAGATTTCCATGACTGTCCTGGTTGTGTGCTGCACTTCCATAGTTCCAGTGGCTCCTGCCAAAGCTCAGCCCCTTACAGCGATGCCGGATGGAGCACCAAGCATGCGTGCAACAGAACTCAGAACTTCCTGCACTTCTTAGCGTGGCTGATTGAATCTAAAACATGATACAGACCGCAGTTCTTCCAAGGATTTGGAAGTGCAGAAGCTGAAGTACTTTGACAGTCAGCAAATGTAAAGAGTCACTGATGTTTCACTGCAAGCGTCTGGATCTTTTACCACCTCTTGAAGATGCTGGATGCTTGGCAGGCACTCAGCAGCTCTCTTGGGTCACTGTGGCCAGCAAACTTTCTGCTGGACACAGCGTGCTTTCTGTGTTCAGTTTCTCAGGAAGTTCTGGATGTTCATTAGGAGTGTGAGCATTTGTAATATAATCTTGCAGTGACACTGTAAGCTGCTTCAGGGATCATCAGTGTCCCGTGGACCATGGGGGTTTGCATACTGCTTTGAAATGTCTCTCACAAGAGTGGGAAGGAGTTTTCATTTGAATCTGTTTAAAAGATGTTGACAGAGCAGTTCTGAAACTAATTCATGCTCTTAGTTACAGTTGCCTGCGAAGCAGGTGATATACTCAGACATGCTCACATGAGCCTACTGAGATGCATGTGGCAGAACAGTCTGAACACTGCTGGTGTAGTTTGTTCCAGAACTGTTGCAATGAATGAGAGAGCTCCCTGTAGCTCCAAGATGCCTGTGAGGACTAAGCCTTACTACAAAGTTTGGGATTTAGAGTCTTTACCCCTTTGTAGGCAAGAAGTAGTGCTCGATCAGGGTAAGAAAGGCATGTTACTTCCTGATACTTGCTATTGCAACCACGCTGCAAGATTTGATCAGTACTGCTCTTGCTCCACTGATCTTACAAAAACCATGAGATTAAAGTGATCTTTCAAAATGAAAGACACGTTGAATGCACTGCTGCACGAGGGAGCAAAATTATGAAGTCTTGAGTGTATGCAATCCTGCATACCTAAAGAACTCTGGAAGGACGTATCTTCACCCTGAAAAGAAAGGGCAGAGAGCAGCAATTCTGTGTCCCTGTGGCCTTTTTTAGGTTGCTGGGAGGAACGACAGAATTGCCTTCTCACACCTTGGTAGAATCTGTAGTCACTCAAAAGTGAAAGAGGGTAACAAAAAATGTTTTGCATAAGCTCAGTTTATGCTTCAATACAGTCTTGACACAGGGCACTGAGGCATGGAACACATGATCTTCTATTTACACCTCCAGTATGGTGTGAGACAGGTCAGCACTTTGGTACTGCTGACTGAAGCCTCCAAAAGCAGAAATAGTCAACGTCCCAAAGAGAGCACATGCACTGAAGATTTCCAGTTACAACAAGGTGGTAAGTAAAATTGGTTTTTTAGCATGGAGTCATGTTACTATTCAATTTTAATCATCATTAGCTGGCTCTTCTTGCCACACTGAGATAGTGCAGGTTCTGCCCTTTCATTTCCAGAATGCTTGATGGATAAAACGAGATTTCAGCCCTGTGCTCTTCTGTGAATAAATAATACCACATAATATAAGGAAGCACTTGTTTAGTCTACGCACAGTCTAAGCTAGCTCTGCTGAGCTGGATAAATTCCAGCCTCAACAACAGAAAAACAGGACATGAATTAAATCATGACAAATATTTAAATTGTATTTAGGATATCCCCTTAAATTTCATCGGGAGTATTACATAGGATCATTATGTCTGTATTTTACCTCCAAACCAAAGCTTGGAACATTTCCAAGAAGGATTATTGTCCCCAACCACTACCAAGGAAGGATGGACTGGTTGATGTCCTGGAGGTGTCTCTCTGTCTGCTATCAGGCAGCAAAGGCTGAGCTATATCAAGGCTCTGCTCTGT